CATAAAACAAAAACCACGACAAAATTTTCTGATTTTAGATTGAGCTAGGTCACGTCTCCTCACTATAACGACCGAACAACAACAAAAACCCGTAGGCAAGTAAAATATTAATAAACTAATTATAATAATACACCATTAATGATATGAATTTGGAAGGAGGACATAAGATAGACGCTTATCGTGGTCGTAGCACGTCGACGTTACATAATAGACGGCCGGCCGGTGAACAATAATTAAATGACCTAATTTAATTATCTGTTAGGCTGCTACACTAATTATTGTTCATACTATTTCAAATTTTGAAACGTTTGAAAAGCAAAAAAAACGTTTATGTTTAATGTACCTTGGCAAATCTTTATCACTTAAATTATAGAATAATTATATTTTCAAGCTTAAAATATAAAAACAATAAAAATATCAAAATCATTAATGTAACAATAATTATAGAAACTCATTATATTACCTACTGTAATGGAAAACTCATAAAAATGTATTTTTTCACATGGATATCTAATATTTTATTACCTTATTATATGTAGGCATATATCAATATTTCAATAAGATCATTTTCTGATTCTATGAAGTTAGGTACTAAGAAAAACATATTACACATTATGTAACTAGCCATAACGCATTTGTTCATTAACATTTTTAAATCAAATAATAATAATAAATCAAATCAAAGATCTAAGTGAAATCCTTATCAAAGTCTCTTTTGAAATTGCTCCGGAAAAATCTAAATCTGTTATATTCACCCGACGTAGGTACTTAAATCACCCCGATATACTTATCGACGACATTATCATACCAATCATTCCAAATGTCACTTACTTAATTAGGCATTACTATAGACTCCAAACTTCGTTGGCTTCCACATATTAATTCACTTACAGCATTCGTCTCTCGATGGTCCAATTTTTTCAGAACGGTTACTGGTACCTGGTGGGGATCACATCCTTCTAGTCTTCTATCTATTTATCTTTCAATCATACGCTCCAAACGTGACTATGGTTGTTTCCTTTGCGGTTCAGCTTCCTACACTATTTGGAAAAAAATTAATAAACACCAAATTTCTTGTCTTAGGAACATTATGGGATACGTTAGGTCCACTCCTTGTCCAGCTATTGAGGTAGAGGCTTTATGCCCACCATTCAATATCAGGTGCAAGTGGCTTGCGGGAAAATTTCTTTTGAAATCATTATCCCATACCAATCATCACATTTTTGATACTTTTTACTCACTATATCTCAATTGGCGCTACGTCCCTAAAACTATGCCTGTCTTGTCCGATATTACAAATGTATTATCTGTTTTCCACCATGACGTCATGAGTTTTGACAAACCCCTAATTTATGAACAATCCTACGATTCTCTTCTTTATTCTCCTCCGTTCATTTGGGTAATCTAGTTTCTGATTTGTCCTCCAAGGACTTTAAAAAAATGTCACACTGTATGGTAAACGCAGCTTTTTCGAATCACCTTATTGTTAACCTCCCCAATTTTATTGTTGTTTATACGGATGGTTCTGTCTCTCCTCTTTCTGCTGGCTATGCATTTTACGAGTATATTCCAGAGTTACATGTCTCTTTTTAAAATAATCTCCTCTCTTTATTTTCCTCCTTTACAGCCGAGTGCTACGCCATCATCGATGCTTTAACACTCATTTTTAATTTTGCCCCTAACAAATATCTAATAGCTTCCGACTCCATGTCATGTCTTCAAGCCCTAAATTCCAACCCTCTACACTCTCAACTATCCTCACTTGTTCTACGTATAAAATCACTTATTTTCAATTTCAATTCTTTAAACTATACAATACACTTCATATGGATCCTCGGTCATACCGGCATTCACGGCAATGAGTTTGTCGACAATATTGCTGAATCCACATCTAACATTATCCTCCCATCTTTTACTCTACTTCCGCACTCTGACTTAACTCCTTTTATTAAACGTTACACATTCAATCTATGGTCTTCATACTGGAATAACTTACCTGGAAACTTTGCGTCAATATATAAAGACATTACATCCAATATTCTTAACAATATCTGGTTCAGCAAATTAGATCTACACAGATCACATATTACACAATTTAACAGATTACGTATAGGACATTCTTTATTACCCAGTCATTCGTTCAAACTCGACTTAAACGACTCCCCTTTCTGTACACTGCATCTCGGTGAATGTATTTGCGATCTATCTCATATATTATTGAATTGCCCTGCTCTGATAACCGAACGTCTAGATTTAATTAAATCTCTTAGATCTTTCAATTATCCTTTTAATCTCCATTCCATTCTCAATACTAATTGCATCTTCACTATTAAATGTATTATCAAGTTTATTTTGAATGCTGGCTTTATTATATAAAATCTATGTTTTAAAGGTCGTAATTTTGTAATGTTTTATCTTTAATTTGTACTTTTCTATTACATAATTGTTGAGCTATATTAGTTGTAACTTGAAGCTATAATAAAAAAAATAAAAATAAGTATAATTTAGTCAAAATTTCGAAATAAGATTTATTATTAATTTATCATTTTATCAAGTATAATATTTCAGAAAAAAAGTAATATATTATTTATATTATTATATATAAAAGAGCTTTTGAGAAATTATAAGTTAGTCAACTTAAACCGTGTGTTTTTGATAATGAATATAAGCTATATCATAGATTTTTATTGAATAACAATTCTTACTATACCGTTTTAATGTAATATTGTAGAGAGCAGTAGCTGTATATGTCCTTATGAGTGGAAATCATTTGTTTCGAAATGTACAGATGTCGCTACTAAAATGCATTAAGATTCATAGATTGTGCATATTAATTTGTATGAATCTAGTGAGAAATTATTTTTCTTCTGGCTTTACTGGATACTCTACAAGAGTTTTTGCCACCATCACAACTTCACGCCACTTCTCTCGATCATAAATTATATTTCTCCAATCATTTACTACTATCCTTTTTAGATTCTCCTCGACCACGTCCATCCATCTTTTCCTCGGGCGTCCTCATGGTCTCTTACCCGTTGGTTTCCAAGACAGTACTGTCTTTATCGTCACTTCCAAGCATAATGTGCCCAAATCACTGGATTCTCTGGCCTCTTATGTAATATTTAACTGGAGTCATTCCTGTTTCTTCTATTAGTTCTTTGTTAAACTTTCTCCTCCACATACCAGTGTTTTCACCTAATTTAGATCCACATATCATACGCCATATTTTGTTTTCTAAGGTGGTAAGTCTACGTTCTGTTACGCTTGTAGTCGTCCATGCCTCGCATCCATATGTTAATACAACTCTCACTATCATTGTGTAAAGTCTGACTTTCGTTTTCTTTGACAACATTTTGGATTTAAACAATTTGGGTAATGCAAAGTACGCCTCTTTTATTACACAATAAAATATATTTTGGATTATAATATTTTTGTGTATATTTTAGCGGATATAGTGCAATTTATTACCAAATGTTTACATGTTAACAATGTTTACAATGTTAACATGTTAAATTCTTAAATTCATTCCATTGTCAGAACTAAGAAGTTCATTTGAAAGGAATCTAATAAGTGTAACGTATTTTTAATGTTTTTTTTTTTATTTAACTCATAGAAATCAATAATATTATACGGCGAACTACTACAAAGAAAATAAAAATACTTTTCTTTAATAATGACAATAAATGACAATAATAGCTATAAACTTGTACGAACCATGTTATTTTTTAATGTAAACTCAAATAAAATTCCTTCATTAAATGCCTAAATTAATTGATCGATAAGAAAAAATTAATTATAACCTGTAGTTATTACAAATAACATAGTTGACAAGTATACCATTTTAAGTTATTCGTCTTAAATCAACATTATATTAACTCTTTTTTTTTTTCATTCATTGTAATATTAGTGCATAACACATATCCATTAGAAATATGTATTTTTAAATTATTAATTGTTTAAACATGCAATACGATTTTATCAATTGTTCACTATTCATTGTAACCAAATCTATATAATACGTCCAATGTACGTAAGTTCGTTTCATGTTTTTAAATCAGTAGACCGAAAATGATTCCAATCGTGTGTATTTTTTCGTTCTTGTTCGGAAATTGGTCATTAAAGTGGATCGAGAAAAATAAACGCTTTGGATTTAACTATTATTTCGTTTTCACAGTATTTTTCGTATTTATCAATTCTTTTTATTTATTTTATGAAATGTTGACGGACGTCATACATAATGAAACTGTAAACACTAGTCCACAACACTTAATCATTTATACAATACATTTAAATTGTTGCGTTTTGGCTTCAAACAGGTAAAACAAGACGTATTTACTAGCAATAATTAATATAAACAAAAAATGTATGTCGATAACCATAACGGATAATAATTAAGAATAAAAGCAAATATATTTATTTTCTATCTTGTGAGGAGATCAAATTCCAAGACAAAGAATTCTTAACCTCAAGAATAAATATTACTTGTTTAACTTGTATTAAATTAATATCTTAATTTAGGATTCAATTACTTGTGGTTTCTGAACATCAAATATTCAAATTTACTAATCTTTGAAGTCAATTTTATAAACACCATGTTAATTCTTACTGCTTAAAATGATTAATATACAGTCGATAATGCATTTGATAAAACTCTCTACATTACAAATTTTTTTACGGAACCATGACATTTTCATTGAAAAGGATTTTTTTCTCAAGTTAATTTCATTTCAAACCACGTAATGTTTTGAAATTAAAAACGTACTGAGCAAATTCTTTATCGTTTAAACTACAGAATAAATAAATAATATTATTTATATTTTTTAGTTTTCAAAATTGCGGCAAAATTAAGTTTCTTATGCAAAAAAAACTGCACTCGTCGTGGATTGTAATATGTACCCACAGGCTATAATACTCACGTAGATGTTTTAATTATTATTTATTACCGTATAATATTATTAATATTTTTACTATTATATACTGTACATAATTATGCCACGTTACTATTGTACTTAATATTACACATTGTTATTCGCGTAAATTTCGAACTATAACGTTAAACGTGTGTGTAAATGGAAAAAAAAAATGTTTTCTCGGAGGACACTCGAGTTCGTTAAACAAAAGTTTGTTCGGCCGTGTTGCAGCATTGTCATTCAATACGATGTGGTTGTGTTTCGCTTTCCCGCAGGTTGATGACCGCCAAACACAGCGAATATTTCGCAAACGAACTGATGAAGACGTGCGGCCGGACCGTGGAGTCGGGCCGACATATACCAGAGTTCTGGTTCAGGATGTGCTGCACGGGCGCACTGGTGTACATGAACTACTACAAGCACCGGACGTTCACGGACGCGCCACACGCGACGATCGTGGTGCTGAAGTCCATGCCGTTCGCGTGCTGCTTCCTAACCATGTCGACGATGGAATCGCAGTACACGTCCGCGTGCAACACGCTCGCCGACGAGTTCACGACGCTGAACGCGCTGATGCGGACCGCTGCCGATACCGACGCCGAGACACTGATCGCCGCATCCGGGGCCCATTGCCGACTCACGTGGCTGACCAGACTGTTCAACGACGAATACAGCGTGCCCATATTCCTGACCACCGTCAACCTGCTGCTGTTGCAGATATTCTCCATGAACGACTTCATGGCAATGATCATCGACGGCGAATCGTTCGAACCGTCCTACGTGCACTTGGAGTACATGTTCGACTCGTTCACGTGGACTTGGATGTGGTTCCGGTTCTGGTGGATCTGCCATCACGTCGACCGTCTGATCAAACAGGTTAGACGATTCGACCCTGCGCGGTCCACCTGACGATCGTTGTTACGAGTTGTTACATGTTCGTTATATTTATTCATGTAAAGTTAACAATCGATTAAATTAATACATTTGTAGACAATCGAATCACTACTAATTTAAATAAATCTTATTTTTTATTACACATAATTTGATAGCAGTTATTAGAAATTTTAATCTTATTTTTAAAAATTATCCATAGTATGTCAATCTACCCCTAGATCCGAGTCTCATATCGTTAGCGTGGAAATCAATAACAAGTAATCGAAGTGATTATCCACCTTCGATCTTCTCCTTATCCCTACGTTTAAGAGCTGTACAACCCCTGATTTCCTGATTCCATCGATGGCCGCATATTGTTTGATTTTTATTGTAAAAACTATTTATATTCCCGTTGGTTTTGACTAAAATTGTACGTTATGTTTTATTTTACTAACTTTTCAACAAATAACTTCTTACATAATTAATTAATATACAGTATATCTCAATAAAAAACCAACTAACACGTAGCGTTTGGAAATATTCATAATTCTTGAAATTCATATGAAAGTTGTATACTAAAAGCAGTAAGAAAAAAAACATGAATAACAATAAAAAACAAAATAATAAATTCATGTAGTCAGCTTAAAAAATAAATGTACCTTAAATCAGGAGCATTTTCCAGTAGAAAAGATATAAACACAATATTGAAACATTACAATGCTCTACAAATATTGAAAACAAAGATATGCAAAACATCAGCTTAATAATTTTATTGTTTCAACTGCTAAATTGTTAACATAAATTTGTTTTTTATAGATTGACTTAACAGCAAAAATAATGTTGGAAAAAGATATAAGTTCATTTCCAGAAAACATAAGGAAATTGGTAATAATAAAATTGTTCAGTATCTTTTATTTTAATATAGCAATATAAAAATCTATATTAACTATTTATGAATAATATAGGTTTTTGTTGAATTTTTTTGTTGTAATTATAAAGTAGGTACTCAGGGCCGTCCTTAGGGGAGGGAGCAGGGCCCAGGCCCCAGACCTCGCGTTTGAAAAAAAAAGTAGCAAATTTTTTTTTTTTTAAATTGTTTTATTTTCATGGTATTTAAATTGTAAGTTTTATATAATTAGTAAATATCAAAAATGATATAAAAATAACGAAGTTGGTTCAACGTAAAAATATTGAAATATCAATAATACGATATTATCGTAATCGCAACACATCAGCTTCGGTGATACGGGTAACAGGCAGCAGCCACCGACCATATTTTTCGTCGAATTGTTATTACTAGGGCTAGGGACTTCATGCCCTTAAAAACCTTAAAATATGTATGCATTTATGCCCTAAAGAATCAATAAATATGCTATTAATATATGCATTTCAAAAAATTATATTTGTTATTATTAATTAATTAAAAAAATTGAATTAATAATAAATAATAATAATATTTTTAGATATGATAGGTATGATGATCTGAGATAATTATTTTCTTTTTTCAGATTTGTTTTCATCTTATATTGAGTTTTTGTCTATAACAAATATAAAATTGTTTTAAAAATAAATGTAATTAAAAAAATGTTTTCTATTTTTATTATAGTACTAATTACCTTGAGCATTACATTGGACTATAAGATATTTTCTCAAGTTGGAAAATTTACCGCTTGCTATCAGCCAAAATATTTTTATACTTAAAAAAGGAACATTCTACGTTTACGGAACTTATTAGTGCAAACTTAAAAAGTGCTAGGTAACTACTACTAATATCTACAGGCAATCCTTCCATAAATTCATTTTTTCCATTTAAAATTTTTGATATTTTTTGTAGTTGATAAAATCCAACCTTTTTCTTCAAAACTTTTTCAATTTTGTCATCAATTCCCTTAGCATGAGCAGATCCTTCAATTTTTGTAGAATGTATATTTTCTTTTATTAAAACAATTAAATTTCTTTTGTAGTTTTAATTATTTTAATGGATTCAATTAGTGCCATACCTTGGATTTCAAGCCAAGTGATGGATGAAGAAATAAATCCATAATTTTTTTATAAAATTAAAAAACTTACTCCTTCTTATAAATAACTGTCAAATATGCACTTATAAATAAAAAATGGTCAAATGTGCAAAATATGCAACTATAAATTTTAAGTATGAACTTGTATTGCTATGAAACAAATTTCTATATTACTTAGCTATGTTTTTGATAATTATTTAAAAACATGCCAACTCCTTGAAGTCCCGAGCCCTAGTTATTACTTAGTAAAGACCGGATTTAATAGTTGAAGACTGGGCAGGAATAACGTGCTATGTATCATTTTTTCGGATATCATATTTTTGCGGAATAACGTGTTATGAAGCAATATTGATCTATTTTAAAAATCGTAAAATTCCTAAGATATTTTAATCGTATACAAACATTGTTCGCTCCAATATGCGCGATATTATTATTATTATTATTATTCTAATTAGCGCGGCGGCGACTCACTCTCCTTATCTGTTTCCCTCTTCCGGCTCCCCAACTGTATATGTGAATTTTAATTATCTTTTTATATTCTTATTTTATTATTATTATTCGTATTGTCGTATGTTAGCTTGAAAATTATTATCTGTATTTTTCCTATTTATTTTTGTACGGCGGCCAACGCCCTTTTTTTGGTCTTTTCTTTGTCTTTGTCGTTCGTTCGTCGGTTGCGATTGTTGCACTACGGTCTAACATTATTATTTTTTGTCGTCGTCGTTTTTTTTTTTTTGTTGTTGCTATTGAAGCACAATTTGAACATTTTGTTCTTTAAATGTATTATTATTATTTTGTATTGATTATTGTTATTACTCTCGCCATAAGTGGCACTTATCATTTTTAATATTCAACTGAATAAAATAAATCCAGTTACCAGCAATAAAGACTTTCACTACCAATTCAGTGTCTTGGCAACTACGTTTCACTTATTGCCATACGTAAGTCCGCCAGCACCCGGCGTAGTGTGTATGAGGCCGTTCAGGTCTTCCAATACTTCAGTTCAACATCGTTACCAATTCACCATTGTTACCTGCCGTAATTTTAAGTAGTCTATAAGTTGTGTCCTGAATGTTTAGCTGTTAATTATTGTCCGACTTTTTGTGAGCTCTGTGGTCATTGCACCAAACCGATTCGACCACAGAGGCCCCCCCCCCCCCCCCCGATAACTAAACTCTATTTCCTGGTCTCCCGTGCATAACTAAATTAATTCCGTTCCTTTCGGCACCGCCGTCGTGTTAGAGGCTGCCGCCGAACGTTATCGGTCCATCGCTCACATCGAGTTGCCTACCTACTAAAGTGGTCTGCGTGGTGTAGGTAAAATTGCCTATACGCATCATATTAGGCGCCTGCCACATAATTCTTTACATTTTTATTTATTAAATCTCTTTTTTTATTTGTCATTGTGACTGGTCCTTCGAATCTCGTGTCGGCCCACTCAATCATCGTGTACAAACTTCACTGTTCACAGTAAGTTGACACGCCACGCGACGTGCGAATATTTCGATTATGCAACATACATTTGAAATAATTTTGTTTAAGTTTAATTCATAAATGAACACAGTTCACAAAATAATAAAATAACGGTCAAGTTATAAAAAAAATAGTCTAATAGCACGTTATTCCTGCCCACCATTCAGTTATTACAACTTTTTATTGATATCAGGTAAATCAAAACTGATCAAATATGTATACGAATCGCATTAATAACAGTCTTCTTTTTTAATTTAATAATGCAATTTTTTACAATTATTACAATTTTTGTATACTTCACGTGATAAAATATACAAATTATTTTTTCTAAAGTAATTTTACAATAAAAATATAACTACAACGTAGTAGTTAAATATAGTTTAATAGTTTAATAACATTTTTAAAATTATATTTATCAGAGTTATCCAAAAAACTCACAAGTTTAGAAGAATCAAATAGTCAATTACTTAACAGTTTAAACATATTTAGTGAAATTGAAAATATTTCGATAAATATTCTAGTGATAAGAACTATTGATGTCATTATATTTTTATAGATATATCATAAATATAAATATATACCTAAATGATTTTTAAAGTATTTTCGCCCTGGGTCTCGCAAATCTTAAGGACGACCTTGTAGACAGGCCTTAACTCACGCAAGTGCAGATGGAGCACTTGCACTTGGCCCCCAATTTCTGCTCCCCCCCCCCCGGGTCTCCGTAAATTCTAGAAAATTGTATTTTTAAATTAATTAACCGATATCGAACAATTGTTTTGAGAACTTTCCACACGCAACTTTTTTTGATTAAATCGCAAGTATCATTATCGTTCGCTCTCTATCTTTACATACATGTCAACCATAAACTGTTGACAAAGCTTACGACATCGCAAAATAACGTTTTCTGATCGCATCTAATCATCAACCGATATGTATAATGATTCTTCGAACTAACATTCTTGTTTGTTTTGGCACCTGTTTGATCTTGTTGTTTAATATTTATGCAACACTCGTCATTTAATACTATAAAAAAAAATCAATAGTTTTTAAATAGTTTTAATAGTTTTTTTAATAGTACCATTTAATAATTCATTTTCAATTGCGCAGTTATCGACCGGCTTAAAAATTATTAAATTAAACTACTATTTATTAAACAATAGCACTTAGGAGTATAAAAAATAGATAAAAACCTATTCACAGACCTACTAAATGTATATACAAGATGTCACTAAAATCGGTTAAGCCGTTTTGAAGTAATATGGTAACAAACACTGTGACTCACTCTCCATGTTGATCCATTTTTTTGGTGTTGGTCGGGGGCTCCATTTATGATTAATTATGCCATATGGACAAGTTATAAGCTAAAGCTTGCTGTTGCTTTTTCAATTCGAAAAAATATTCCAGAACTCAAAAAATCAATCATTAAAAAAATTTAAAAAAAAAATTGTGTTAAATCAGCCCAGCCGTTCTCAGTTGATGAATTGTCTTACATTTTCGTTCCATTTTTATATATATAGATATTATTAAAGACTATGGTCGAATCACAAAATATTGTATTTTTGCCTGACCAGGAAGACATTTTAATTGAAGAAGTACATAATAATCCTATATTTTGATATAAAACGTCAATTTTTTTTTTTTTTTTGGGGGGGGAGGATTTAAATAAGAAAACAATAATTTTTCTTCATTTTCTTCCTCCTCCAATAGAAGCAGCAAAATTTTATTGTTATTAACAATGTACAAACTGGTTTATATTTCATTCAATTTTGAAATTTTATAAATTTTGAGATAGGTATTTAACACTTTTAACACTTTTCACTAACACTTTTAACTTTTTTACTATCAACATTTTCCCCTCCTCTATGTAGATTTTTCTAGAACATTTTTTTTGACTTGAGGGTCCCCAAAAAAAATTGTGCACTTGGCCCTAATTTTATTAAATCAGGCACTGTCTGTAGGTACTTGTATGTTATATGACCATAAGTGAAATATTATTCATTAAAAATCATGTTTATAAGTATATCTAAAAAATAAGTTATGTATGAGTATTATATATTTTATTATAACACTTACTCAGCCGTGATGATTAATTTTAATTAATCAACAAAAAATAAAGATTTTAAAGCTTTTAACTTGATTGAAACTTTTTTTATGTGATCGTTACAAGAATTAATATGGCGATTCCACTATGGGATCAATATACAGTACACGTATACCTATGTTTAAATATATTACTGTACTAATACTAAGGTAAAAGTTTTATCTGTAAAATAAAGTTACTTTACAGGTTAAACTTTTATTATCATCAATAAAAAACTAACCTTCCTGCTATTGAATGATAATACATGAGAAAGTAACTTAATCTGATCAATGGCTTGTAGGCACTTGATTTTTTAGATCAATTGCTTCACCGCCACGTAAGAATTACAGCATGGGGATTCTATGACATAAACAAAGAATTACTATTCATGGTAAGTACATGGATGTACATTTTTTTCATCGTGCATTGGCCAAAACTCAATAACGTGTGTTTTAGATAATAGGATATCAATCCGGTTTATGTTTGATTTGTACCCAATTTACAACTTCAGGAGTACAACTAATCAACAGCTTCACGACTACACGGAAGAATTACTCGGACGCTGCAGTATCCTGATCAAAATTAGTCATGCAATGGCGATGCCAGGAATTTTTCCCATGGCGGGCCAAAAGGAGGCCAATATAAATTAGAGCTAGCAAAGTTGTATGGTAGTTGAATAAACGGGTGGGAGGAAGTTGCCAGGGACTGGACTGCTCTGAGTATCCTTTTTTATACTCCGTATCGGATAAAAATGATTCACTAATGTTATCGACAAATTTAAATTGTAATTTGTAAGTTTTAAGTTTTAGGTATTTTAGTATTGAACAAACAAGTATAAAATAGTTAATATATAGCAAAATATTTAATTACCTGTTGGTTGATACCGAACTTGTAACATAAGTAATTCAGGAGAAAATTTTTTTTTATTAGTTACGTTAAAAAAATCGTTTATTCTTCCTTTAGACATTTTGATTAATAATGTTTTTTTATTAAAAAGATAAAAAAATAAAAGATTAAAAGATAACAATAGAAGAGTACGCGAGTACACGACTAAATAAATAAAAAATGTTCACTAGTCTATAGTTGCTACATGCTCACATTACTGACTGATTGGACATCCGAGTGTAGTTATTATGTACCGATGATTGTAATCTAAACTATTCAGGTCATATTTCAGAATCATCTAAGATTAGATTTATTCAATAATATTGTCGTAATCCCGTCTAACCCATATCCGCGAGCAACTACACAAAATATAAAACGTAAACAATCTATATTATATTTATATATAGCTGTATGTGACATGTGTATGACTAAAACATTTTTATAATCTAACCTAACCATGGCTCGCCCGGGCCCGCCTTTGGTGCCTCCACCGTAGTCATGGCATCCTATTATTGTTTAATTTTATCTATTTCAATTTTCAAAAATATAAATCAAATAACTATTAATCCTAAGATAAATTATTAAAAATTTTAGATAATGTTTATAAATTAATAGTAGTATAACATTTTTTTTTTGTTTTTAATTTTTTTTACTATACAATCTGTAAATATCTTATTTTTACAAAAAGTACAGGTAGAAACAGAATAAAAATAAAATAAAATAAAAAGGGACTGATAACTTGAATAAATAATCCATCCAGTGATGGAACTTCTTGACATTGTGAATGGGTTTTATTCAGTTAGGAGATCCTGACACCATTTGCATCTTAAACGACTTCTGGGGTCACCTGGGACGGTGAGGTCAGATAAGTTTGAGATTAGAGGATTGCGGTGGTTGGAGAGATTTGAGTAGAATCTTTTATATAGAGTTTTGGCTATGTGTTGTACTGTTGGAATGGAAAGGTCATTATGGAGTGTATCGTTTGAGATATAGAAGGAGGCTTAGGTAATTTGTCGAAGGCATTTGAATTGGAATGTTTGAAATTTCTTTATATTTGATGGTTTGGCCGAACCCCAAAATTGTATACCATATGATCAAATGAGTTTTAGTAATAGTTTATATAGAAATATTTTGTTGCTCAGATTGATGTGTTTAGAAGTTAGGAGGAGACGTAGTTGACGGAATCGGTTATTCAGTGCGATACGTTTGGTATGGATGTGGTGGGTCCAAGTCAGTCGACGGTCCAGGTAAACGCTGATATATCGGACATTTTGTGTGGGTGGCATGGGTAGGGCAATTTCTTGGTTTTAAAGTGAAAGTACAGTGGGCGGATTTTGACTACCGTCAAATGGTTATAATTGGGGCAGCGGTACAACTTGGACCAAAATCATGTTTTTATTTTTTGCGCCATAAGGCCACGGTATCAAGTTATAGCGTTATCGCACTATTTTCAATATTTTTTTTGAAACATTTTCTTCAGAAAGCAGAAAGAACTTAAATTGAAGATCAGAAATTATTAGTAAGTATATTTAATATGTATAATAAAGTAAGTGTAATTTGTTAAGCATTTGACATACCTTAATAGTATTGTATAAACAAGAAAAAGTATTGTTTTTTGAGTGATGTGATAAATAAAAATAAGTTTCCAATTTATGTAATTGTTATATTTTAATATTTATTACATTTATAAGTATAATATTTATTAAGTTATTTAAGTTTTAGTGATGTATGTGTAAGTTGGGGCAAGGTGGTCCATGTTACACAAGGATAAAACTTAGTAGATTGTACATACCTCGTAAAATTAGTTTAAAATACATCTTTACCTATTTGTTTTTACTAGTGTTTAATTTGAATTATATATATATATATATATATATATATAATATAATATGGTTGGCTTAATTATATTAAGTTATCTACTTATTGATTTTTTTTTTTATAAAATAATGTATTTATAATATTTCTTTTAAAGAAATGGTTGGACGAAAAAAGAAAATTGGAGCAAGACCATACAAAACATATAATGAAGAAACACTTCAAAGAGCAGTACTTCTTGTAAAATCTCATAAATTGATTGAACGTTAAGCATCTGAAGAGTTTGGCATTTCTAAATCCACAATTCACCGCAAACGCCATGATCAAAATTTATCACTAGTTGGAAGACCCTGTGTTTTGAACTATGACGAAGAACAGGATTTAGTCAAAGGTCTTATTGTAGCTAGTAAATGAGGATTTCCATTAATCTCACATGACATTTCTCATAATTTATGTGAAATTTAAAATGTTAAAAATGTTAATGGGAATTACATCTGAAAATATTATAAAATCAAGACTGATTATGTATTGCTATTCTCATTGTTAAAATATGTTTTTTTAGAAAATATGTTAATTATAATTTAAAATAAGTATTCTGATTTAATAGCAGACTGATATAACATAAGTCATAATGTATTACCTACATACCTAGGGTTTTTAATTTGTATAAATATTGTTTTGTTTTCAACTATAAAAATATAATTAATGTGAGATATATAAATCTATAATTCAATTGTTTTTTTAAATTTATTTTTAATTAGTGTACATTGTTTCAAAAATAAATGCAAAATGTTTTTCTTATCTAAAAAAATTCAAGGAATCTTTTAAAAATATTATTTTTTTGCCCCAAATAAGTCTTAGTAAAGGAAACTTGGTTTTTATTTGATAATTATATGTTTGCCCGAAGTTAAACTTGTATGGTACAACTTGGGACAAGCATAAAAAATAAAAAATAAATATATAGGAGTTTAAGAAAAAACTCAAATCAATAAAATTTTCATAAAACAAAGTAAGACCCAGATTTTTTGTAATCACATGAAATTCCCTAACTTAAATAGTTTTTAAGTTACCTACAATCATAATTTTATAGTGCCCCAAGTAACGCCATTTGACGGTAGTTTATCTTGATTCCCCAGTCTTTATACCAGGTTTGAAGTAAATTTAAGTGGAATTGAATGAAGTTGGAGGCTATTTCAAGATCTGAGTTAAACGCCATAATGGCATTGTCATCAGCAAAGTCATCTGTGATTGTATGGTTAGTTGTGGGTTGGTCGGAGGTGTTTAGATTGAATAAAAGTGGGGCTGCTATGGCACCATGGGAAACTTCAGCATTGATGAGATTTATTTCAGATAAGGCTGAACCAGAAAGTACAACAAAGAGCCTGTCTTCGAGGTATGACTTGAATAATAGCTAGTAGTAAGGTGGGAAGATGGATTTCAATTTGAAAAAGAGGCCTTGGTACCATACTTTATCGAAGACCTGTGCCATGTCTAGAAATGCAGCAGTGCATATTGGTTTTTTTTTTCTAGAGTAAGATATTTGGTATCATCACTATTATTGAGAATTTCCATAGGGCAGGGAAATAAGTTAATCTTATCATGGAGTTGTAGATATGATTTAATAAAAATATGACTTTTTTGGGTAGTTGAAAGGCTACTTCAGCGGTTATTAGGTCAAAGCCTGGGGTTTTTTTCGAGCAGATTTTTCTATAGTATATTTAAATTCACTTGGCTGTATATGTTTGGGGGGGGGGAGACTCATTGGTAATAAACAGAGTAAAAAGTGGTTTACTTTATTAATTTAACTGGAGGAGAGGATATCGGTGTGTGGTTTGAATGTATAAATACATACAAATACACAATAAATATTAATACAAATTCAATTACTTCCAACAAAACTAAAAACTGATAATAAAATGAAAGTCCCTTGACATTTCCTATTTAATACAACGTAGAAGCCAACTGTAAAGTATCTTAGTTTTTACTTAATTTTTTCTAATCCCATCCGTTAATATGTTAAAGTTAACATTTTATTATAATTTGGACGCATATTAAAACTACTCATAATAATAATAATTTAATGTCTAATAGTTATTTTTTCAACATCTAATTACTTTACAACTAATAAATTTGTCCATTACATTATACCATTTTATAATTTAATAATAAAAACAAAAAAGTCAATACTATTTAATAACACTTAATAATGTTGCACATATTAATTTCTAGGTCCACAGAAATGGATGGTACCACACAAACATATATTTTCAAAGTTATTTACACACAAATAATATAAAACTACATTAGCCTGGTATTCATCTATTTATTTAGAATAATTTTGAATTTCAGTGCTATTATTAATTTGTATATTTCTTAAGTATGAATACAAGAAAATTATGCATAATATTTATAAAATTCCAATTCATATGATAATTGAAGATCCAGCATAATAAAATGTTTAATTTATAGTTAAAAAAAAAAAAAAAAAAAAAAAAACTATTGAATTTGACTAAATAAATTGAATGATTTTACATGTAAATATACTAATATTTTCATAAAAATAAACTTACAAATATGGATTCAAATCACCATTAATTAGGATGTATAATACTTTGTCAATAAAATGTGAATAAAGTAGTATTACAGAAATGGTATATATACAACATAATATAATATGTATAGCCTTATCAAAATCGGTGTTTCTATTACATCATAACTAAAATATATTGAAATAAAATAATATATTTATATATATAATAATCAAAATATATATACAGAATGTGTCAATTTACAATCTGTTCTAATGCAGTGTTTGTTAAGTAATGTTATAAATTAATATATAAATAGAGAATAAGTCTAAAGATATGTAATTTGTTATGAACGTTCTGTGTTGTAACCTGGGAACAAATATAACAAAGTGTTGGCTAATTTTGTGTTTATACTCATAGGATAAGTTTTTCCTAATTCAGCTCTACATGACGGACATTGGAATACTTGAGCATTAAACGATCTTTTTAGACATCCCTAAAAAAAAATATTAAATATAATAAAATTTAATATCTATTAAAAAATATCAACATGTTGATTAAAACTTACTTTACAAATGTTATGAGAGCACTCTGTGGTAATTGGTTCAAAAACAATTTCTTGACAGCAAATGCATGAAAATGTTTCTTCAACTCTATCCAAAAAAGCCTACAAAAATGTACAGATAGAAAATGTTTTTTTTTTATTTGAAGTACACTAAAAACCAAACAAAAAAGAATGCATATTTTTTTGCCTTGATTTAACATTTCTTTGCAATCATCCCAGTATTTTCTATTGGCAACATCAGCTTTTATGAATTCATCCGCTTCTTTTTCAAGTTTATACTGAATTTTCATCTTCTTTTTGGAATTAGCATTATTATCCTCTTTTTCTAACAAATTACACTTAGAGTTGTTACTTTCACATTGTTCATTGTCTTCAATATCAGCTTCTTGTAATGTCCTTTTTCTTTTAGATCTGGGTAATTTTGATTTTGGGTCATTGGTCGCAGTTACAGCTGGTATATAATTTTCAGGATACTAATTAAACAAATGAATACAAGTAATTAAGTATACTATGATAAAATTCTTTCAGTCTGGTAGTTTGAGCCAACACAAATTATATTTTAACTGTATTGGTCATTTAAACTTGAAACCAATGAAGTATGTTCTCAACAAAATAATTCTGAGGTTAAGCTCATCTGTTTATATTTCTAACAATAATTGATGTAGTAGTAACATTTAATTTATCAATAAAGTAATCTTAACTTTTAATTAAAAACTTAGAATGCTTACTAAAAACATAAATGTTATTCAAATAATTTGAAAATTATGGAATGTCTATAAAATGCTAATATAAATATTCTTTATAGTTTAATCGAATAGTTCAGGATAAAATACTAAGCAGTACAGAACTCAAAACTATTAGACTATTTTGTAATTATTTCTGTTTTTCTCAATTTTCAATAAAATTACTAAGAAATTAAAAAAAAAAAAAAAAACCACATCAAAGTACCAACCAAACACCATTAACTTTCCATAATTATGATGATTGGCCCAATCATTTTAAAGTGATCTACATAAACAAATAAAAAAAATGAAATAACAAATACAAGTCTATGCACAAAACTAATATATACCTCATTTAATTAAGAATCTAATACTTACAACTTGTATTAAATATGCATTATAATTAACTTTATGAATGCAAATGTCACTATCAGTATATAAGTGCAATTTTAATTTAATTTTTGAATGTATTAATAATTTTCAAGATTATTTTCAACTTACAATTATTTTAAGACCTAATTGAGTCATACGTTTTTTGCCTTGTGCTGTCCAAGGAGCTGGAATTGGATCATCTCGCCTCAAAACAAAACGCCATACAGTAAACCCTGAAATTCCAGTTTCTGGATAATATTTAACAACTTTGTAAAGACCATCATATCTGAAAATGATAATGAGGAAAATTATGTTATATTTCAATAGAACAACAGTTAATAATAATAAAAAAGCTATTTAATGAATTTAAAAAAAATGAATACTCAATATTTTTATTAAATATTAATTCCCACCGATTTCCTAACTCTGGTGCATATTTGGAATGTTTACGTAGTTTATAATTTCGTATGACCCTAACTGGTTTGCCTTTTTTCCAGTCCACAGCTGTTGCCCCTTTTTCATTGTCAATTTTTGCATTACAGTTTAGTGCCAGAGCTCTAAAAATTTGTAAAGAGAAAAAAATAATGTAAATATATTAAAAGTTAGTTAATAATAAATTACTAATAAATGTACCTATTATAACGTGTTAACTCTTGATCACAACTCTGCAAAGCAGTACGTTTGTTTCCAGATAAATCTCGTCCTCCAGAACCTGTATATAAGAACTCATCACCATTATCAACATCATCTTCATAGCCGCCACTTAGAACAATACTAAATGCACCCTGATTATCACGGCCATGTATGCCACCAACAGGAGGACGATGAATACCAGCTTCAGATACCTAAGATGGACACTTGTAAAACCTTAGGTATACACAAAAATGTATTTCCCAACTCACTTGTACACGAAATAACCATGTGGTTCCAACTTCAACACCAGGAATGGGACCAAAATGATTTGATGGAACAATATTACATTTTTTTGTTCTCCCAACACAAGCCATACCTTTACCCCAATCTCGTTTTGATGTCGATATTGATTCTGGTCCCTTTTTTTTTGAAGCCTTTAATTTTTCACCAGCTTTCACAATTTCATTTTCATCATTTTTACATGAAGGACAATACCTAATTCATCCAATATATTAAACCAATCAAGTTTTTTAACACCAATCTTACCACCACTTACCAATCATCATCTCCTGGCATCTCATTCAAGGGTGGATTAAGACATACCATATGGTAAGGGTGATTACATTCATCACACATTAATTGTTTATCTTCATTGTCTTTTCCACCACAAATACGACAACCACATTCCTTACATGATTTTTCCATGTTATCCTTACATTTGATACAATACAAAGCACCAGCTCCTATTGAAGAAAAATGTATAAACTTAATATTTGATTTAAAATAAATTATATAACTTTTGTTATTACTCATCACAGTTGGCTGTGTTTGCATGATTTTATCATCTTCTGGAGTCCTCTCAATAAGCAATTTATAAGGTTTTACTTTATAGATATCATCAAGAAACATTAAATGACAGTTTTTTAAAACAACATTATCTATTCCAACAGATACATCTCCTATTATCTCATGACCTCTTCTAGATTTTTTCACCTCCTTAACTAATACATCATACCAATAGCCACGTTCTTGAGGATAATCAACATTATAGTTCATGAGAACTTGATCATTGATTTTTAATTTTTCAAGAGGCAGAATTTCAGATGCATGTGGTCGAATTTCTTGCAAGTGAACTTCAATGGGAAGTTCTTCAGGGCACCTAAATAGATATGGCATATATTTCTCAAATTTTTCTTTTTTAGAACATATATTTACATAATAGTAAATCACTTACCCTTCAATCGCTACAACATAAAGAAGACCATCATTTTTTACAGGACTCTTAGGATCATTTGGCTTCTCTACTAGAGCATTGTCTTTTTTAATCTTGATCAATTTACCTATAAACCATGAACCATAGTGATAATCTTTCATATCAACATAATCACCAACTTTGAAATATTTGCTTTCCACAGATATATCATCATCGGCATCACTCTATAAAAACATAAAAACAGATTTTAGATTTGAAATTATTAAAAAATAAAATATTTACTTTATCTGATGCTGAACTAGCTGCAGAAGAACTACTTGGAATATGAGTTTCATTTTTACATAACTTTGTTGTAACTTTTGATACAGATTTTTTTTGCGAACTATTTTCATTAACAGCTGCCCTAACCATTAATTGAATGACATCATTTACATTTATACTATAATCAAATAGTCTATATTGGTTTTCGAGCTAAAACATAAATACTCTAATTACCATTCAATAATTTTAAACATGGTTTAAAATAATTCAAATAACAGTTGAATAATATGATGCACATATAATAATAAGATTATTCAGAAAATGAAAATACTAACTACTGATATCCTATTAACAAAATTGAGTATTTAAAAATTTTTATTTTCATTACATTATAAAACAACCAAAATAATTTTATATATAATAAAAATATGGGTAAAAACATATTCATCTAATTTGAATAAAAATCATCACATAAAATCAGTTATATTAAAATAATATAAAAATGTATTTATACAGTAATAAAATTGAAAAAATAAATAAGTTGGCACATGGTTTAACATATTTATTTATTTAATATATATTAATGTAAGTTTGTAAGTTTATAATTAATACAACTACAAAACAATTTATATATTATTTATACTATTAAAAACCTATTCTTCAAAAACAATTATGATTATTAAAATCATGTCCATTAATTATGAAATAAATATTTAATGAAAAAGTTTAAAATATTTTAATCAATTGTCTGTTGAAATAATTTAAATAACTGATAAGCTTTAAAGAAGGTGCAGTTCTAACTGTTTTTATACTATGACATCCCTAAAAAATTAAAATACACAGTCTACTCACCATTATTTTAATTCGTTACAATTCTAAGTAACACAATATAAAGTAATAATTTAAATTTTGATGTTATATAACATTAGTATAGCAATAAAGGTAAGATATTTTTTTATATTTTTGTATAAATAAAATATCTTAACTTAAACAAAAATATAATTTGGTTCTATAAAAAATAATAAATATTATTTTGAGAAACATAATTCTTTGTTAAAATTATAGAACATAAAATATGTACTTTCTATCTATAAGTGTATTCATTATGTACTAGCACAAACTAAAGCAACATAATTGTACCTCGATACAATTTAAATTAATCTATAGAACATGATAAGATAAAATTATAATAATTAACACAGATAGTTTTTAGAGTTTTGATTTCGAAAAACATAAGATAAGCATGACATAGGTATTTAAAAAAATAAAATTTTAATAAAAATATAAAAATTCTAACTAAGGAAATAAAATATAATATATAATTATTAAAAAAAAAATAAAACTACAAGAATTTTATTTCGTATCCCATGTTAAATTGCAAAGCAAAATAATTAAAATATAAGAAGTATAATATGTTAATCATTACACAACAAGTTTTTATACTTATTATTTTACATAAAATCAAAATTATATTTAATATTAAAATCTAAATTACCCAACGATAAAATAATTTATCAGATATATAAGAAAAAAAGGCCTATAAGGTAAAGAAAACAAATTTAACTATAGGAGACAAAATATTTTTAAAATAATTCAAAATTACAGTAATAAAATATTTACTAATTTGCAAAAATAATATTACAAATATAGTTAATACATATAAAAAAATTTTTGATATAATTATAATGGACAGAATATATTTTATGGATTAATTAGTATTATAATTATGATTTAAATATCTAGACAAAAGTGAATAAGGAAATAATAATTTATACTTGAAGTCTTATTAACATTTTATTGAACAGTCTATGGTGATATTTAAAAAAAATAATTGTGGTTAATATTTCAAGTAGAAAAATACAATTTTAAATCAGTTCATTGATTGTCAAATACATGAATTCACAAAATTCTATAATCTAAAAATGTACTAAGTAATAAGTAGGTTGATTATTTTTTTATTAAATATAAATTTATTTATGCGTTTGATTGATGAAATCGATGATATTATACTTTTAGTAGTATTTATTATTCGGTAGTATTTCAATAACAAGTTATAAACATTGACCTAATTTAATTGTAAAACTTTAAAAGAAAATGTAATACCAATTTAATTTCACTATCTAAATATGTATTAAAAAATAAGTCACTTAATTTAAATAATTGAAATACTTATCCAATAGAATGATATAATTAGTAATTAAACAGTGTTTCCTACAAACTATTAATAATTTAAGTATAAAAACATCATAATTGAAATAAAGTATTAAAATGGTCTTAGATATCATTGCTATATGTACATTAGTAACATTATTTAGATGAGTAAATGCTAAAACAACTGCAATAAAATTCCAATGTGTCGGCAACACTGTGCCAAGAGGACAAAAACAGTCTTTGTTCTTACTTGTTTGCCTGCGAAAAATAATCTCAAATTTTCCGATTTAACATGGAACTTTTTTTCAACAAGAGTCTTGAAATCTTTAACTAACGCAGTTCTGGATGTGGGTATTGTTACTGACACACCTGTGTCCATCATTCTCACTTGCACGTACATGGTCAAAATTGCTAATGCAGTCACCTCAACCGTTGTATGTGATCACGTTTCACTTAGGTGTGCCCAAAACTGAGGAAACCTGTAATTTAAATCCAACAATGAATACTCAGCATGCCACAATATTAACTAGCAAGCGATTAAGAGCTCCATCTGGACTGTGGTGTGTAGGTACATTACGACGAGCATCCAACATTATGCGGAACCCTTCAAATGGCAAAATATTAAGTCTACATCCCAACCCTTGGAGGCTCCTCTCGACCCTCTCACAAAAATGTGTAGCCGTGTAAGCCCTGTTACGTGACAATGCACAAGATAAAACAAAGCCAAAATCGCCAAAATAGAAAATTTAATATAATCTGCCGACTTCCACACACTCACCTGCTATCCTTTTTCAAACAATCGACAACGGCGATCAAACAGCAGTCCGTTCAACCCACATCAGTCGTTCAACAACAATGATGAGCAACGGTATTTCAAAGCACACAAAAATTGAACACAATACATTTTGGCGGGACGACAGTGACGGCAAAGAACGAGTGTGCGCGCGACTATTTTCTTTATACAGAAAGAGATGCGCCAACGCGCGCACAGTCGAATACGACTACAACGGATTTTTAAAATGGCTCTGGTGATTGGTAGTCGGACGATGACGAGTTGACCGACGTTTGATAACCTGTGATAACGCATGTAAACACAGATCACAATATTCAGATAATAATCAACTAGCTATATTGGCAATTACTAACGTCGTACTAGCTTTACTTTTTTAACCAAATTAATTCATCATTTTCTGTCATTCTTAAGGAAATTAGAACTTTATCAAATACAACATGTATGTGTTTTGAAAATGAATTATTCTTGCGTGGACCTTTTACAATTTATCCATTGGTCCAGTGGCTTAGCTTGGATGGAGGATTAATGGGTTATAACCCTCCCACCCGTAATGTCTCTCTTATTTTGTAAGAAATCAATAATTTTAAGACAGGTATAATGTTGTATCATGTCATCATCAATTTTCACAGTTTCAACAAACTAAATGATAACAAATTTACTATTTTAACCCTTTTTAATGGACCTATTAAAATTGAAAAGTTGGTACTTAGGATAAAGAATTAAAAAATTAAACCCCCCTCCAAATATTTTTCTGGCTACGCCACTACATCGGTCAATTTATTTTCAAAATATTCATTGCTAGTATATCAGTCTGTATGTAATGTAACACAAAATTTCTTAAAAAATTGAACCAACCAAAGGCATATTACATTACAAATACTGTGATATGAAAAGAACAATAGGTATATTATTACTACCAGTTTGTTAATGTTGATAATGCAATTGTAAATTTTTTCTCATTAATTTGCATTCTTCTCGGTATTCAAAAATATCTTGTCTCTTGATTGAGATTTAGAATTAAAGTGTACTTATAGAATACTAGAGTTAAATATTATAAGTAATAGTATTTTATTACTTAAATAGTATTATAGTAATTTGAATCATCATGATCTAAAGACAACGCCTAGTGAAAATAGCCAAGTGTGTCTATCCTTAGCCGTTTTTTTTTGTTGGTAGAATACGCAACCCATCTTCTTTTTTATATTATAGAAATAATTAGCCCCAGGTCTTCCTCTTGTTCTTTGTCCCATTATTCTTTATTCAAATATGTTATTAAAAACATAAACAATTTTGTCTTGATTTATTGTCTTAATAACAAGTAATTTGGGTAAAATTATAAAAATATAGTTGTAATATTTAAGGAAGCATAACATTTTAATACACAAAAGTGATTCCCCTCATCTGTTCAGTTAAATGCCTAAGGAGACAGACTCTAACCGGTTTGAAACTATGAAGGTGCATATAAGTGTAACGATACTGTCATTATATTGTATTTGGTCACTTCTTACCAGTTAAAAATTAAATTGTTATTTGTGATTTTAAATGTTGGTAAAATTAAGATAAAAAAAAAATAATATTTTTAAACTAAAAATCTTTATTGTACAATATTAAATCCAAAATTATTTTTGAACAAATATTTATCCATATAAATATGATTTTTACATAAAATATTGTCTTATATAGGCTTAAAAAAAATTTCAAAATGTTGAATATTACATAATGAAAGTTACATTTACACATACAACTCAATATATAAGTTAAGCAAAAATAATACAAATTTTTTATTTTATATATGTCGTTAACCACATATAAATGTACTAATAATACTTCCTTAGAACAACACTGACATTGGAAATTATCAGTTGAAAACAACAGCACCATGATTATAAAGTTACTTTTTAACTATGGGGAGCTTCTTCTTAGGAAAATTCAAGCTAAAAAAAAATACATGTTATCATAAATTCTTATTGTATATAAACTGTACAGATTTTATTTTTTCTAAATGAAAAAAAAAACTTTTTAATTATTATCATATTTGCTGCACAGTATATTATCCTCATCCATCAGGAAATATGCTTTAAATGGTTTCATCATTAAAAGAGTTGAAAAAAACTTGTTATCTAACCACAATTTATTTGCTTGTATAATATTTATATCCAACAATCTAAAATCTAAATACAAAAATAAAATATTAATACTTCGATCAATAAAATTATAAGTCAAATTGATTAGACTAACAACATATTTCTTATATACATAATTGTAAAGATAATATCTATTTATAATTAAACATCTCAATAATACTGACTCTTCCCCTACCTACAATTTAAATAATAGTTATTGTTACTTATATTTTAATTCAAAACAATGCAACCAGAAATTACCTTCATTTTGTAAATATTTGTTTATCTTTGAAACATCTAGTACAAACACATTAATTTCTTGAATAAATTGTTTGTCAATAAATTCAATATCTACAACTGCTATTTTTTGTACCTTTACTGCATCATGAATTTTATAATGACTTTTCAAATATCTAAGATAAATAAAATCTTTAATTTAAATACATTTCATTTAATTAACTGTACTAACCTTATAGCTGCATCTTCTACAGACTCTCCTGATTTAACTTTTTCATGTTTATTAAAATAATTTGATTCTTCAAAATTTTTAAGTAAAATAATTTGATTGTCTTTTTTAATAATAACATTTACCCATGGTTCCTTTAATTTTTCTTTTGAATTTGTTAATATTATGGTACTATCCAACATAGTATCGTCATTTAAATACTTAAAATGTGCTTTAAATGGAATGTTTTTTAATATCATTGGAAACCAAAATTTATGATCAATCCACATTTGATTACACGGAGAATCTTCAATTTTAAACCATTTGATTGGCGCCATTTCTATAAAATAAATTGTAATTGGTTGTATGAAGTACAAATTATTAATATTGTATATTATTTTTACCATCAGATTCAATTATGTCACCACTAAACAGATAACATGAATATATATGTCCTTCCAGTATTTCTTTTGAACCAACATACTCAAATTCTATAATACCAATTTTTTCCATTGAAATTACATCTAATCCACACTCTTCTTTTACTTCACTGAAAGTAGATACTACTGTTAGGTTCTATTATAATTATATTTCAAAAATTGATAAAGTACCGTTTTGCACCATCATCAATTGTTTCATTTGGTTCTACTTTTCCACCAAAACCATTCCATTTGCCTTTGCCCATACCACGATTTTTCATACCTAATAACATCTTACCATTTTTTAATATCATAGTAAGTGTCATCAGTTTGCGAGAATAACCAACAAATGAAGGATAAGACAACATATTTTCCTAAAAAAAAAAAAAAAACTCTTATTTTTTATTTATTTTTTAAATTAGAATAACACCATACACTGGGAAAGTTGTGATTTGACTAATACTTGGAATTATACCGGTTTTAGAAAATCTACAACAAATTATAGCTAAATATTTTTAAATATTAATTTACTATTTTTACCATAAACAAATATTATGATTTTAATGAACAAATGGATGAAAAATAATATATAATATAAATAAATTATTCCTGTTACAGAAAGTGTTGGTAAAAATGTTAAATAATATAAAAATATCAATATTAAATTTTAATTTTTAGAAAACATTAACATTATTTTGTATTGGTAGGTAATTGAAATAAATAAATTGATGGGCTTAACTAAGCATGATTGGTGAATTAAGTCTTGCCCAAGTAATTTATTAAATAATTTAACATTAATATTGAGAAGAGTGACAAAATCGCGAGCATCCCCAATGATATTAGGCATTATAAACAAGTGACTACTTAATGTTTAAATAAGAATTGGACTTATACTAACTTTCAAGTAAGGATTTAACGAACAGTAATAGTAGGTAGTATTTTAATAAATAATAAATCGTGGTACCAAGCGTTAGTTAACAATTTTTAATTCATTTTTACCAGTATGTAGGTATGCGTAATTTTAAAATTCAAAGATAACTGAGTATACGAATTAGTGATGGACACTATCGAATAGTACTATCAAACTATTCGATAATTTACTACTTCTGAATTATTCAAAAAAATTTAAAATTAACTTAGTTCACAGATATAGATAACTAGATTGCTAACTATAGTATAAATTGACACGAGACGCTTATTTCGCGCCATGTTGCTGGTGGGCTATGGCATTTTATCACAAATGGATCTTCGCAGGAAAAATTCCAAAAGAATCCAACATGGCGTCAAATCGCTTATCACTTATCGCTTATCAGTACAAATTGTTCACATGGTTATCAATTTATCTCTGATTACGAAATATATTGCCTTTTTCCATAAAATTTGTCATATTTCCTTTAATAAAAAATAAATAATCAGTACCAATAATTAAACCTTTGCTATTGCAATACATCTCCCTCGTAATAAAATATAAAATATAATATGATAAAACATGTATAGACGGAACACATGGTTTAAATAGTTATAACTTTCAGTTGTATACTTTACTTGTAGTAGACAATTATGGAAATGGTTTTCCTGCTGCATTCTGTTTTACAAATAAATCAGATACGTCAACATATTAATTATTTTTTGAATGTATCCAGCATGCAGTAGGACTTATCAAAGCCAATGTATTTATGTCTGACAATGAACCTGCATTTTATAACGCATGGGAATCTATTATGGATCCGGTTTCTAAACAACTATTATGTACTTGGCACGTATTAAGAAATTGAAGTAAAAACCTTTCTAAAATTCACTCACAAGAAAAAAAATCAATGGTTTCTAAGACATTAAAATCATTAATGCATGAAACTGGTAAAAACAAGTTTTACATAGAATTAACAAAGGTCATTGAAGATTTAAAAAAATGATACAGATACTGCAGATTTTGGTCAATATTTTGCAAGCAATTATTCTTCAAGAGTTGAAAAATGGTCATTTTTCAAATGCAAACATGTTGATATCAACATAAATATGTATTTTGAAGGTCTTCATAAAAATATTAAATATTGCTATTTAGTAGGAAAGCAATGCAGACGACTCGATTTAGCCATTAATGCAGTAATTTTGTTAGTGCGAGACAAATGTTTTGAAAGGATTATTAAGATTTCAAAACAAATAAGTTCATCTGAAATATTACAAATTATCGCCAGTTATAATAAAAGTGTTCATATTAAGTCGGATATGATTTTAAGTTTACAGCTACACATGGATGATCAATACACTAACTGATCCTAAAACAAAATATATTATTGAAAAAATTAATTTACCTTGCAGTGACTGTATTTTACGGTGTGAATATTGTAAAATTTGTTGTAATGAGCCTCATCTCATTAGTTATTTTCTTATTATATAAAATTAGAATAGTGTAGTAATCATTTTGTATAATACGTAAGAGATTAAGGTGTTAATAATCAATCTATTATGAACATAGATTGATCGCCATATGAAAGTTCAATAGTATAAAACAGGTGCATACGAATGCAGGCCTACCAGATACTGGAATTTTGCACGTTTGTTAAAGCTTAACAAATAATTTACTTATTACTTGAAGGCAATTTAATTAGTGATTCACTGAATAATTCAAGTGGTGAAGTTTTAAATGTTCATTCATCTAATGATTATTCGTATTTTTAATGTGAATTTGTTGACATGGACAAAGAGACTGAAAAACATGTATTTTGTTTTATTAATTATTATTGAATTATTGTGAAACTTTTAACCATGAATATTCATTCGTTTTATATTTTACTATTTATTACAATTTAACTTCATACACTTGTATGATAACCAATAAATTAACCATAATGATAAGAGTAACGACGCCATGTTGGATTCTTTTGGAATTTTCCAGGAGTGTCTAACCACAGGAATGCACCTTATGCATTCTGCGTATGCGCGTAATTTATTCAACACTATCATAAACGAGCGCTTCCCCGCAGTAAGGTACGGCCACACTGCACGTGATTTGCGATGCGAACGATTTATTTAGCGATTTAGCGATTTTTTCAAAACTACAGAATCGCTATGACATGGCCACATAGAGAGCGTTGTGGGATTTGCGTTTTGCGATAAATCGCGTCTATCGCGTCAAAATCAAAATAGTTTGTTTCTTTGCGATTAATCGCTTTGTAATCGTTGTTCAATCACCATGTCCGTCCAGTCGGAAAAGTTGGCGTCAGCAATTTTCATGAAAGAACCGATTTGGAGGTGTTTCCGTCCATACGACATTATTCAAAAAATTTATCCGGGTGCTTTTGAAGTTTATTAAAAAGAGTGTGAAATTCACGTTCGGTTTCTCGATGTTTATTTATTTCATGCACCCATTTTCGTTGTTTAAATAAGTCAACTTTGGCTTCTAATGAAGCACAATTTTCAGATAAAAGTATTTTACGTTTACGATTCGATTTGTATGAAGTCATCTCGACGACTGGTGACAAACAACTAGTGATTATATGTAACAACCTACTTTGATTTAGCAATAAAAACGCGGAAGTGGCCACACCAAAATCGTAAAAATCGCTGTACAATATCGCTCGTATCGCAAATCGCGTGTAGTGTGGCCATACCTTAAGGCATTTGGTTGACTTATCATAAAAGAACGTTATCATAACTTCAAATTATAAAATGTAAAATGTAAAATTTAGGAACTAGAAGATCTCTTTTGATTTAAAAGGTATATATTAATATACTATTAGGTATATTATAATTTATAGTTTTATAAATTCTTTACATTTGATGAATATAAATTATATTATGTCCTAATATATATGGTAGGTAGGCAGGCACGTAGTTAAAGGAGGGCCAAGGTGTGCCTGGCCCACCCTAATGTGTGCGGCCTTAGGCCGGCCCACCTAAAGTATTGAGAGGGGCTCATATTATTATATGATTGCTTTTAATTTTTACCAAATTTTTAATATTGCCTAAATATGACGCAAATAAAACCAAATACATCGGGTTTTAATTATTATCTAAGTAATGTAACTTGTAACTAAATTTAAACGATCGATTAGGAAATAATTGCTATTTATAGCTAAATACCGGTACTATACTACAATGTCAAGTTGTTCTTATCATATCTAGACAGTGACTACTGTATACTTGTATGTCTATTTTTAAAATACTTTGAGCGAGGATATTGTCATTATATTGATTCATATAGAAATATAGAATTATATTATGGTTTCCGATTGGGCACTTACATTCACATTCAGCGCACCCCGCACTTATGCTAACGTCACCTGCGTTAATATTTGTACAATTTATAGTATTTATACATTTTATCTTATATATTTAATATTTAAATTAATTTTAAAATGGCACCTCTCAGTGGATGTGCCAAAAGAAAACTAAAATTACAAAGAGAAGAGCAAAATGATAAAATATGGTATTATTAGGTTATATACTATATTAAGAGTTAAGACCTTTTATTCCATTCTTGTAAAAAAATAACTACATTTTTCTAGTAATTAATATGTAATAAAGTAATTATATTTAATAACTCCAATCTCCATTACAACTATTCATTTGCTCTACTACCTACCTACCATATACATTAGGACATAATATAATTAGGGTTGCCAACTTTGGATTTAGAAAATACCGGCCCAAGTTAACAAAAAAAAAAAAAAAAGGCATCATTTTAAGTGAATTTTTAATATAAATATAATAAATTGACGAATAATATAATTAATTACATACGTTAAAATAAAACATTTAATAATATTAATATCACATTATATTAAACTTTAATTATAAACTTATAAATTAGTATAATAACTATTATAAATAAACTATTGTAAACTTTTAAATTTATATTTAGCGGAATTTTTTACAGCGTTTAATAAATGTTTTTAATTTTGTATTTGATCAAAAAAATCTGAAAAATTGTATGTTATGTTATTTCTTATGACTAGTTCGGTTTTAATTGTATCAATTCCTAATCGATTGCGCTCATCTATCCACAAACTATTCACGTGGCTAAAAACGCGTTCAACAAATGTTTTGCTACACGGCACCGAGAATACATACTGTACAATTTGTTTAATATTTTTTATTGTGCAGTAGATGATTAGAAAAATTTTACCCATTTTTCCGAACTAGTGAATTCTGTGTTTTTTAGGATATCATTTGGTAATAACTTTATCAAATTAAAAAAACTTTTTTATAGTGGACGATTTATGTATAGAATTGACGGATTCGTCATGTTTTTTTGATTCTTGATGTGTTTTTACAGCTTTAACGCCATCATACTTTACAATAAAAACTGTCTGACATAATATACATCGTGCTTTATTAGGGTTATTATGTTTAGCGATCCAATCAGAAAATATTTGATCTTTTAACCATTCATCGTTAAAAACACAATTACGAATTCTTTTTTTCGTTTCATTTTCATTTTCGTTCATTTTAAAAATGCGTATAATTATTCACTCGTGTATATGCAATGTAAAAATAATACTACCGAACAGTCTGAACAGAATAACGAAACTGAACTCTATTATGAATCGTCTATCACATACTCACATACGAGTACGGCATAATAGGAACAACTAACAAGGTACATACTAATCATACTACTAATAAAAATGTCAAAGTGGACGATAGAGGTCTGAAGTCATTAAGATAAGTATACGATTTATTGACAGCAACATGTAATAATCAATTTCACAAAAACAATAAAATATTAATATATAATATCAAAACTTTCGATCAGGTGGAAATAATGGTTTTTTATAATTTTACAATTATTACTTTGAAAATACCAACAACCGGCTTTTTAAGTCTAAATATGTGAAATACTGGCCGGGCCGGGAAAATACCGGTCGGTTGGCAACCCTAAATATAATTTATATTCATCAAATGTAAAGAATTTATAGAACTATGATAATGTTCTTTTATGATAAGCCAGCCGAACGCCTTACTCCGGGGAAGCGCTCGTTATCATAATGTTCGGCCGTTATCAATATATTATATCAAATCACTATAATACGATAATAATATTATTATAAAAATATGAGTTTTGAATCAAACTATTCAAAATTTGAACATACTACATACGTATTTTACATTTTTTTTTGTACTTCGATCATTTCAGTAAATTAATCATTATATATACCAGATACATTAAAAAAAAAAAAATCAAAACAGCAATAACTATCTAATATGTTGGGATGGCTTTTAATAATGTTTATTTATGTCTACATTTACTCAATTACCTATTTGAACATTTCATAAACCAGACCTTATCAAAATTTACTACACAAAGGCTATTTACTCAATGTTTTATTGAGTATTAACAATACAATTCACAAACATCTTAAACATAAAAATTCAATATTATCTAATATATATATAAATAACATTATTATAATAGTAAGTACAAGTATGAATTATTAAAACCAACTAGTGTAGTATGCCGAGTTGTGAGTTCGACACGATTACACAATATTAGGGTATAAGGATTTTAGAGTTAGATTAATAACTTTATCAAGAACATTTATTACGGTATTACTGATATTTTATTTAACACTTTTTAATTTAACATCAACATAGACAAAGTAAATGATAGTAACAAATATAAACGGAGAGTATATACTGGATAGTAGGATACATTTGATTGCTAATGCTGGTTCGCAACTTTTTTCTATTCGAGATTTTGCGATTCGCACGTGGTTCATATTACTTCTATTAATTTGTTTATGGTTATAATTGTAAATTGTAATTACGTAGTAACTATAAAATACACATGAAAAAATATAATGTATACATAGTACATTACACTAGAGTTGAAACTAAACATCTCAACAATATACTACTACAAAAAAAAATTATAACGAATCTGAACATTATTATTTGACAACTATAATAAAATGACAATATATTATTTACATAGGAAATATGTAGTTAAATTTTGAATAGTTTGATTCATAACTCATATTATTCTAATAATATTATTATCGTATTATAGTGATTTGATATGATATATTGATAACAGCCCATAGAGTAACTCCATAGACTTATAATATTATAAGTCAATGAGTAACTCTATGTAACAGCCATTGAATTCTGTATAATATGATAATAATTCTATATGATAATATATGCTATCATATAGAATTCAATGCTACGACCGGAACAACTACAGCAGGTTATAGAAAGTGAAGACCGTCGGTCGGCTGATAACGTCGCGAGGATACGGTAATTTCATGTTGTCAGAACGCATGCCCTGCACGCAGAACGGATTGAACAGGGTCCCCACTTCAGGAGAGGATGGGTTTCGGGCGGGGGCGAGGACATCCCGCCACCGTCTTCTCTTTCCGGTCGTCTCCGAACCCTCTTCCCGCCACCACGGCCACCACCGTTCATTCATAACAACGTAACGTTATAAATATTACGCGCGCGGGGGAACGATGGTCTGACGGACTGGTCGAGGTTCGCGCGAGGTGTGTTGTGACGATAGTGTGCGCTAAGCCAAAGCAGTACACAACAATCGCGCAAAACGTTCGCAGTTCGTAATCACACACACACACACACACACACACTCGAGTACACGTTATACATTTCACTCGCACCGAACGGATTTTTTCGCTAATTTCAACACAGCACCCTGTTGTTCGTCGTGTTTATCGTTCGCGCTGAAGTAGTTACCGTCTCCGTTTGCCGATTTAATCGTCTCTTCTCCCACCCCGTCCCGTTTGTTGATTTCCCGACCAGTTTTCCGAGCTCCGTTTCTGTACGTACGTGTGTACATGCACGAGTGTATATATGTGTGTGTGTGTGTGATAGTGCGCGCGCCCGCGTACAACGCTCTGTAATCTTTTTATTTACTATTATGTCCGTCGTCATCATCAACATCTGAACAAAGCGCCAGCGGAAAGAAACACTATTCTCGTGAAACACGTCAACAATTGTCATCAAGGTTTGTAGTTTTTTTTTATAGATGTATTCAAACGCCGAACACAGTAGATTTCGCACGTCCGCTGTGCTCACTGCGATCGCGGTGCATCGCTCGCTCGCACCCGGTTTTTCTGTTAGCTCGGTATACTCGTTGACCGTCTCTTATCAATTACTGTGTTCGTTAATCCCAAGACGTATCTCACATGACGTCCTCTATACTATAGACCTCGGTCTTGAATGTATCGGTTTTTTTTTCTATCAACCACTACCCACTCGATTTAGCATTCCATTTCGTTTCACATATCCGTTTGATACTTAATACACATATATATATATATGTATCGTATTCGACTATTGTTTTCTGTAGTGCTATCAAGTGATATAAATGTCGATTGCCTTCAGAGTTTCGATTAAAACTACATATTTTTATATTTATTCACATATCCTTTCTTGGTACACCAAGTTATTGTTTCAAATGTGACCTGTCTTGTTAATTATTTTAATACTTTCAATTGTTCATTTGTCTATAACTTTATATTGTCGTATATATCAATACAAACACTAAACTACTACTGTTGATTTAAATAAATGTATATTATTTTACTTCATTTCTACCTAGTCCTATTTAATCTGTAATACATGATATATTAATTATTATGTTCTTGAAAAACTGTTGTCACAATATACATTGATCAGTATTCATGTTTAAATTACAAGTGTTGATTATTAATTATTAGTTGTTTTTATATCATTTTAATAACTATAATTTATTGTATAGGTACTAGGTAGTATACTTATACCTCATAAGAAGACACTTAAAGATAAATAATTAATTTCTATCTAAATTCCAATAAGAATTAATGTGTCCTTGATAAAAAAAAAAAAGTGTTATTAGCATTCTATTTTCTTATCTTGTCTATTACAGTAATGTTCTTTTAAAAGTATTTCTGCAAGTCTAATGCATTGCTGTTGTAATGATAAATAAGTTTAGAAAACTAAGCTAGGTATAGATTTACCTATTTTAATGACAGTTCTACAACCAAAGATTATCATTTTATTCTTATAAATTTCTGATAATAAAAATTGTTCTTACAGTAAGTATTGTTTATCAAAATAATTTTCAATATTGCTTTACAATTATTTATTTTCAACACATAATTAATGATCAATAATATTATTACTTACCTATCAATTGTTATAAACGGTGCTCGGTTGTACTTAATGCCTTTTGAAAATGTATTATTTTGATATTACTCATAAAAATAATTGCTCATTATTTTATATAACTTTTAAAATTACGGACATCACCCATTTTCGCTAAAATAAAAAAGATATGTTATTTCCAACAGCCCATTTGTGCCTAATTTACCTGCATAAACATTTTAATTTTACATTAAAGACTTGGTTAATTCCAGTGGCGTGTACAGAAAATATTTTTGGGAGGGGCTACTATGGACAGAATTAAATTACCACTAATATCTAAGAATTACTAACAAGACACAGTAGTTACTTATCTACATTTCATTTACAGAATGCCCCAAAACGATTTGACATTGGACCTAAATTCTAAATAAGCATAAAGCACCAATAAAATATAACATACATTTAAAATAATTTTTAAGTTTTTTAAAACATTTTTGGGGGGGAGCTGTAGCCTACTAGGCCCCTCTCCCTATTTAAGTCACTGGTTAATTCATATAATGGAGGATCCCGATTATCTGAACCTTCCTAATACAAACCCTGTATTGTCCAAACATTATTTTGTTTCAAAATAATTATACTAAAAGTAATAAAAATTATGAATACCTACAATTTTATTTAAATGATAGTCAACCGTACAACTTTTTTTTAAAATGATAATCAATAATACATATTTTTTTAAACAATAATAAATAATTAGTTGGTACACATTTTTTTGAAAATTATCTGCTATAGATATTAATAATCAATAGTATAAAAATTTTAAGATAATCAAATTAATCATAATAAAATATAAATAAATACATCATACATAACATATCATCTTAATATTTATTGTAATTAAATGCAACTATTTATATATATATTCATAATGTGTTATTTTTTTGTTTTTATACCTAATACTCTTTTTGTTTCAAAAATTAGTAAATAATAGGTATTATTTATTATTTTCACTAATAAAATTAGTGATTATTATCATGTATATAGTTATTTAAGGTATACATTAACCCTTGATGTTTTTAAGTTATGATGCTGCTTCCTAAATTTTAGAAATAAGCCATGCCATTTTGAACGTTTTTCATTTTAACGATCAAAATTATTAAAACAATTATTATTAATTATAAACTTGAACTTATGTTATTTTCTAATGGTTTAATTATTATTTATCAATTTTATAATTTAATTTTTATTTAAATTATTTAAGATTTATTTTATTATTACCAACTTATTGTGCCTAATAATAAAGGAAGAAACTAATGACAGTTAGTAAATAATACTTAGATGATGCAACTCCATAAAAATAAATTAATTATATTGTCTATACAAAAATAATAAATTATCAATTACATAAGTTTAGGATTTAGATTTATTAATTATTGTAACTACCTAGTATTAATTTTTCAGAATTTTCAATTTATCTAGTCTTATTAAAGTTATGAAATAAAATACTTTGTTTTTATTTGTTATTGACTTATTCGATATTCAAATACCTATTTACATTACAATATAATTTTTAATACTGTTACTGCTTGTCCATTTTAAAATTAACATCTTATTTAAGGTTTCAATAATCAATAAATTGATATTTGTTTCATAAAAGCTGATGCTATTGTTTTTAAAAATTAAATTAATAGGATCCTTTTAAAATGTTAACCATATTGTTAAAAATCTCTATGTCAAATAAGTATAAATAGTAGATTGTATAATAAATTTGTTATAAATTGGTAGTAATGTCTAAGGTTATGTCTGAGTATAATCATTGTTTACTCATAAATAAATTATGAATGTTTTGTATATTTTCATACAATTTTTGTGATTTATATTATAAGCTAATAGCAGAAATGTTTAGTTAGTTTTTATCTCAATTATTAAGCAATTATTATTTACTTAAAAGGTTATATAAACCAGATTAGTAAATTGTGTTTCCTGACATTATTTCACTTGCTTATTTACTAATTTTTTTTTTTTTTTTTTTTCCATAAAGTTATTAAATGTTGTAAAAGAGTTATAACAACTATAACATGTAGTTCATTTGATCTCTTAAATAAAATACCCTGTTGATTTAATTTGTATATACACTATATTTATATTTCTTACATTTTAGATGAAGAAACGAGAAGAAATGCAAGTTAATGTAGCAGGTCTTAGACGAAATTTAAAAAATATTGCACATAATTACTCTGATGCTCAAGTTAGTATATTATGTTATTATATTTTTTCATGATAAATTCATGTTCTTGTTTTTTAGTACATTAAGAACAATATTTACTATTATTCAATTATAATTTGATCTAGTTAATTGTATATTAAATCTTATTAGTTACGCTTCAAAAATAAACCACCAAAATAATTGTATTTTCTTCTAACAAGAAAATTATTATATGAAACCTATGGGATTATAAAATGTTAACACAGATTATATTTTAGGTAAAAGTACGAGAGGCTACTAGCAATGATCAATGGGGTCCAAGCAGTACACTAATGGCTGAAATTGCTGACCTTACTTACAATGTAGTTGCCTTCTCAGAAATAATGGCAATTCTTTGGAAACGACTTAATGATCATGGACGAAATTGGAGACATGTTCATAAAGCTCTAATCCTTTTAGAATATTTAATAAAAACTGGCAGTGAAAAAGTAAAAATAATAGATTATTTATAATGTTTACTGGATACTAATTTATATATTTTTCTAAGGTTGCCCAGCAATGTAAAGAAAATCGTTTTGCGATTAAAACATTAGAAACGTTCCAACACATTGAAGAGAATAAAGATAAAGGACAGAGGGTACGAGATACAGCTACACAATTAGTAGCTTTATTAGATGATGATGAACGATTAAAAACTGAAAGAGCACGAGCAATTAAAGCTAAAGAAAGATCAGCACAAAAAATTTCAAGTTTTGGCAGTGATGGAAATGTAAAAATAAAATTTTTAATTATATTTTAGTAAAATAATGGTGGTGGTTTCTTAAATATTTTTTATTTTGTTTTTACGCTATACATTTGGTTAGACAACTCCACAAAGCCCTAAATACCCATTGGTAAGTTAATATAATCTTATTGGTTACAAAAAAAAAAATGCATGCATTGTCAACAAATTGTACTTAAAAAAAAAAAAATAGTTCAGAATATAATATAATTTTTATTAATACAAATATGACGAATAATTTGTTTAAATACTAACAATTTACTTAAAAATCAAATAAATTTAATTATGTAAATTATATTAGATGAGTAAAACCGTTATGTTGAAAATATCATATACTTGCGTGTTGTAAGATTTTATTTATGCTTTAAATGGATATATTTTTTATGAAATAACTGCTTATTTTTGTAGCTTTTTTTATTATTATGATTTATAATATTGTTAAAATAAATTGGTTTTGCCGTATAGTTTTAAAATGTTAAAATTTTGCTTTAGCAAAATTGATATATACAACCTTATGTTTTAAATAGTAATTATCAATTTTTTATTGACAGTAAAATTATACATTTTTTTTTTTTTGTAGTTTCGAGATTCTTATGGACTATATGATTCTCGACCCCCTGTCAAAGGTATGTTAGTTATTATTACATTTTTTAAAATGTTGAAATTTAAAAATTTCTTATTTTTTTATTTTTCATTATTAAGATTATTAAGATTACTAATTTAATGATACAACCTGACTTCAACTATCTGTAAAACAATTTTTATATAATCCAATACTATTCTAGTGAATAATAAAATCAAAAACTTTATTTTATAAAAATAAAGTAGAATAAATTTTTGATAAATTGAAAAATTTTATTTCTTATAAAGCTTGAATACATTGTAATAGTTTATAGTAATAAAAGACAAGTGATACTCATTGAATTGTATTTTTTAATTATCAAACAAATATTTTATCTTTTAAAGCGGAACTAGAAAGTGCACGGCCACAGACTGTTGGTGAAGAAGAATTACAATTACAACTAGCTCTGGCTATGTCTAGAGAAGAAGCAGAACAAGAAGAACAAAAACGACGTAGTGATGATGTGCGGTTAAAACTTGCATTATCTCAAAGTGAAAATGAATTCAAGTAAATTAATTATAATTTTTAAAACTCAATGTGTTGAATCCAATTTATTTTCTTGAAAACTAATAGACAATATTTAAGTAGTGGTTCTGATTCTGGAGCTAATAGTACTAATGGCAAAAGCAGTAATATGTTAGACTTATTGGGGATCGATCTAGAGAATGATTCTGAAAAAAATGGTGCAGCAGCAGCTGCAGACCCATGGGGTATGCCAATAAAAACTCAACCACAATCACAAGTAATACACATAACATTTATTTTTAAATAATAATAATTATATTTTTATTTGTTATCTCTATACTTGTATAACCATATATATGTGGTAATTTATTTACATTTAGAAATGAAACAATAATTTACCAATTCTGTTTTATTAAATATTTGTTTTAATCAAATGTTTATGGTGAAATTTAATTTCAGCCTTTAAATTGGTCTAATGGGGATCTAAATAATGGAACACCAACACGAGTTGTTGATCCATGGTCTCCAGTTACACACAAACAAAATGCTACTTCTACTGCTCACGTGTTACCAAATGCTATAAATGATAGTCAGTATAATAAACATTTTAAAATTTGTAAAATAGGTATTTAATGTTCATGTTTTTTATTTAAGGTGTCGATCCTTGGTTAATACAAACCACATCAGTGGCACCAATGACTCCACCTGACCCTTGGGCTCCTGCAACAGTTACTCAACCAATAACTAAACCAATCCAAGAATTTGATGAATTTGCTCTTTTAGGGAATCGATCATTACAAACAAGTAAGTATTAAAAAAAATGTTGAATATTTTAGTATGAGCTATTTATTTTGAGGTTTGTATATTATTCTAATTAGAACCTACTCCTGATCCATTTGACCTCTCACATATAAACAACGAACTATTAAGAACATCTACGCAGAGTTCAACATCGGGTAAGAAAACACCACACAGTTTCTTGGGTGAAAATTCTGCATTAGTAAATTTGGACAATCTAGTGACAGCTCCTATTAATCCAGCACCAGTTGCACAAACACGACCACCTGGTATGTTATTATAGAAACATTTTTTTTTTTTTTTTAATTAATAATTTTTCACCATTTCATAACTGTTAGTTATTTTTTTATTTCTTATTAATGTTGGTCTAAGTTTTTATAATATTCTATTGTTAATTTTTTGTGAAAATATAATTAATAGATAATGTTAAATCCAAATAATTTGTTTTATAATAATTACCAACTTAAACTTTTTCTCAATATTTAAAATAAGATAAAATAAACATTGAAGCAATGTTCATTAAATTTGCATTTGTTATTTTCAATACATTATTTTTATTATTACTCCAATGTAGTGAAAATATATTATGGTTTTCATTTTAGGTATGGTAAACCCTTTTGGAATATCACAACAGCCTCCATTTACAACTCAACCAACAGTTCCAGCAACATTTAGTAGTTCAACTACTTCTACTTTGCCACCACCTCTTGTACCATCTCCTAATCCATTTTTGTCGTAGCAAAATCTTAAGAGTTCTTTTAATATTTTGTGAAATCATTAACAATAACGTAACGAAATTATATTTTTCTATGGTTGTTTCCAATTTCTAGTAATATTTCATTTGAGCATCCTGTGGTTTTTCTTCTTATTTAAAGTGTAAATAAATTGGAAAAATAATTTGGGCTTTAACAATAAGTATAATATATTTAATAAATAATATTGTAGTTTATAATAATTAAGTTGTTTTAACTACAAATACAAATTTTTGGTGTCTTTAGAAATGTGAAAAAATGAGTCATTTTTAAATAAAAGTAAAAATGTACATAAATTTATTTTATTTCCATTTTTGCTGGCTATTTTAGACACTTTAGTACTTTTAATAAAGTTATATATTAAGTAACCACTTTATATAATATGTATTGTTAGCAATTGTTATTTATTACTTATGATTTTTTTGCAGAATGTGAGATTAAATGTTAAAGAAAATTAATTTAAATCACATTATTGAGCTCAACATGTTAAAAATAAAAAATAAATTTATTAACATTACTATTGTTAAATGCACTGAATATAAACCTTTTTTATACATTTACATAAATATTTATCTATATATATATATATATATATATATAAACTTAGATTTTATCAAATGACTTTCCGATTATGAAATGCTATTTATATCACACATATTTTTTTATGTAAATAATGGGGTGCAAAAACGAGTGAGAGATATATTGTATTTTTATAAAGAATTTTAAATCCGTGTAGTTTTTATTTAATTACTATTGTGTATGACATTACTTGTGGTAACTACATTGTATTTTAAACTTTAATACTATGTTTGTAATCATTATATATTATCATGTGGTTTTTATATCATTGTTTTATTTTTCAATCATTTATTATTACCTGGTGTATTTATAACACCTAAATATATATTATTTTATTTTGTTACAGTAACAACTCAAGAGTTTTTATTTTATGTATTTTATGTAGGTATTGGCAATTCAATTTAGACAGTTGAAATATGTTGGAAATTGGTTATTTCACTATTCTCCATCAAAATGTTTAGTTGCAAATAATTTTTTTTTTTTTATTATATATTCAATAAATTACAAAATTAGGTAGGCTCAATAGAGTAATAAGATAATTTATAAATTGTTTTAATTTAGTAAAATGTGCTAAAATTATGAGTTATTTTAATAGGTCAATGTTCTGATGATACCGATGCTGAAGATGATGATGATTCTGGAAGTAGCAAAACATCTTGTGGAAAACGTGGCTTAAGTCTGCGGTTTTTCGTTTTTCCCAATTTTAAAGTAAAGGAGTCCTTCTGTTGTGTTTATTTTCGAATTAAATTTGTGAATTTTTCATTGATCCATGTAGTTAGGTATGGTATTCCAGTGTCGTGTATTTTGTCTGTACCATGGAGCTTTAAGAGCTATTCTAAGAAATGTATTCTTTATCGTTTGTAATTTAATAATTTTTGTTTATGATGTGGATACCCATATTGGGAATGCATATGTTATTAATGGTCTTATTATTGATGTGTATATTAGAAGTGAGCATTTAATATGAAGTGTTGAGCTGTAGTTTAATAGGGGGTAAAGATTTTCAATCGTGTGTAGGCTTGGTTTAATTTTTATTTATATGCATTTTCCATGTTAATATTTCATCAAGATAAACTCCGAAATATTTAATTGATTGATCTTTATTATTCCATAATATTTGCTGATTTTTTATTTTTAATTGAGTTAAACTTTTATATCTCTTTAGAGTAAATATTTTCAGATTGCTCCCAATTGGATTAAAATCGAGTTTCCATTTTTTAAACCAGTCTGAAATTATGTCTAAAGAAATTTGGAGATCTGTTAATGAGTTTTTAAGATATTTATGTTGTGTTATGATCAGTGCCACAACTATAGGATGTGCAAGGTGTGCATTGCACATCGGCCCCCAAACCGTTATAAACCCCACACAATGTATTATTATGGATTTGATTGTAGACATTTTAACTGAAGCAAATTGATAAATATAAATAACAGATCTATCATATTATTAAACATTTAAAATCAAATAACATATCCAACTACTAACTCGTTACCAAAGATCAAATGTAATACTATTTATTGTAAATACTATTATATTACTAAAGTATTTATAATCCTATGGTAATACTAATTCTTAGAACAGAAATAGCTGAAAATAATACGGGTCATTTAAAGTTAAAGATCCACTAGACTACCTTCCATAACATATTTTATTTATAGTGGGTGAATACTTTATTTGAAAAAATATTAAGTCTCAAATTCAGATTTGCATATCAGCCCCATAGTGTGTAGTTGCGGCACTGGTTATGATTACATTATCATTTGCATACATTGCTAATTGACATTTTTGTGGAACTGGGATATCATAGCAAAAAATATTAAACAAGGTGGGGCCAAGGACTGACCCCTGTTTTTATCGGGTGTTCTTCAGAGATATCGGTATTTATCATACTTTAAACATGAGATTTTTGATAAATTAAAATAATATATTATATAGGTAGGTTGGCAGTTTTAGTTTTGTTAGTTTGGACGTCAGACCTTGTCAAAGGCTTGTGCGATGTCTAGAAAGGCTGTGGTTGTGAATTTTTTATTTTTAAATCCGTCTACTATTATTTCTGAGATACGCTGTGGTTTATGACATGTGGAGTGGTGAGGTTTGAAGCCAAATTGGTGAAGTGGAATAATTTTTAGGTATGGTTTCATTCTGTGTAACAGTATCCTTTCTATTAGTTTGGAGTGGGTAGGTAGCAAACTAATAGGTTTATAGCTCTCCGGTAAACTGTTTGGTTTCTCAGGTTTATGTATTGGAATGATAATTACTTGTTTCTAGGTATTTGGAAAATATTTTATTCTTAAAATGGAGTTTAAATGACTGGTTAAGAACGCAAGGGCTTTTGGAGCAAGACTTTTGAGAAGTTTATTGGTAAGAAGGTCGTATCTAGGACTTGTATTTCCTTGTGACTGCATGGATGGATAATATTTGTTTCCATAGAATATGCATTTATAGAGTCTGTTTTATTATATTTATAGTAGTAGCCTCAGTAGTGAATCAATTTTAAAAATGCAGAGCAAAAATTTTGCATTTGTCAATGTTTTTGCTAGTCTGACTTTAAGGGGAGAAATAGTGTTTCTTTGAGTATTCTTTTTGTAGCAATCCATAGGTTGGCATCCTTTGGATTCAGTGTTGATAAATATGTTTTGTAAGAATTAAATCTATTTTTATCGAGTTTCCATTAGACACTTCGTGTTATTGGTTTAATCGTTTTTTTCATTTATATTCTTATTCTTTGCCATATTCTTTTGGTTTTATGTTTTTCATTTATTAAGTGTTGAATGTTGGGCGGTAGAGAGGAGTTTTCTTGCAGTTCATTTTTTTTTTTTGGATTTTCTGGTAACAAGTATGATTAGATTAGGTACATTTTTTATTGATTCTGTTAGGTATTGTATGTTGGTGTCTATTTCTTTGTTGTTTTGATGAAATCTGTTTATACTAAGATTTTTGTTGAGACTTTCCCTGAAAATTTTTATTAGTTTTGGAGTTGGAGGAATTAATATCTTTTGTGTGGTGATAATTGGAACGTGATTCGAGTCTAGTTCATTTTTAACTTGGTGATATAACTGTGCTGTGAGATTTAAAACTAGAGCAATGGTCTAATATGTCTAGTTGTCTACCTGTTCTGTGGAAGGTGGTGATATTATAATTCTTAGTTTAGAAATGAATTGGAATAGTTTATTACCATTTTGGTTAGTTTTTAGGCAACCCCATATTTCATTTTTGAAGTTTAAATCTCCTAAAAATACCTATGGCTGGGTTTTCTTTGAAAAGTTCATTTATGTCATCTCTTTGATTTTTTTTGTTTAGAAGATTATTGGCGGATATTATTTTAATATCAAATGTATCTGTTGATACCATTATGGAAGTGGCTTCTATACTAGTCAATTCAGAGGTGGTTAATTGATGATGTTAGAAGATTTCTTGTGATTTATGCTGATTTATCAGTTGAACTGCTATTAGTGGGGTCGGAATTTTATCTTTGATGGTTAGTCTGGTTACTGATTTTACTGGGTACTCAAGGATTTTTAATTCTTCCATTACCTACTTCAAATTCGGTTATTGAAATTAGTAGATATGATTGCGGAGATATATTTTTCGGTTTTTAATGTATAGGTAGTATTATAAAGAATACTTTTATTTTGTATTCAAAATACGTATTCGAATAAATGGATGAAAATGTATTCAGAATACGTATTCGGATAATTTAAAAAAATGTACTCAGAATATATATTCGAATACTTAAAAATGTATTCGAGTACTTAAAGTATTTAAATTAGATTATATTTATTAATCGTAAATAAGTCATTATCGGTGGTATCACTAATTCTAAAACGTAATATAAATATACTTATACTCTTTTATGAGCATATTGTGTTTTTTTTTTTTTACTAGGTATTAATTTCTAATTCAGTTTCATCCCTAATAAATGGCCTCTTGAAATGGCTTAACCCACCAGTGAGAAGGGAAAAACTGTTTTAATGGTCAATGGTTATAAATATGGATTCCAAAAATAATTTGCTAATGAAATTAAGAGATGGGCGTGCAACAAAAAAATATGTAAAGCCTACTTAAAAACTAATTTAATCGATGAAATTATGTTCGATGTTTCAAACACAATTCATACATGTACGAAAGACTCAGAAAAAAATATTAATAGACAAGTACTAAACAACCATCTGAAACGACTTTACCTATTTATATTATAATCAACTTATAAATGTATTATTGTATAAATTGATAGTTTATATCGATTGTATTGATTCGATTAATGGAAAATTTTCAAATAGGAGGCAATTTGAGTGTCCCCAGTGCAGCTCACCCTAAAATTGTTGTTTTAATAGAAATTTTACTTGGAATTCAGAGTGAAATTTAGATATAATTTCGAGCTCAGCCTGTGTTTTGTTGACTATGTATCAGTGGTTAAAGTGGAGGGGGATGGAGTCCCCCTTCTTATTTAAGGTAATTATATGCGTCCTCTTTAATTTAAGTCGCCAAAAGTCGGGCTGGACGCTTAATAGCATTGGTCACTAAAATACAATATTGAATATACAATACTTATTATCAGTGTTGTGCCTAGATAAAAAAAAATTATCTAGATATAGATAGATACTGTAGAAATTGAATTTATCTAGATATAGATAGATAAAATAATTTTTATCTAGATATTTATGTAAGGCATCTACGTTTTCATCCGTTTGTAGGCGAACTCTTTTAGTCTTGGGATGTTATTGTATTATGTAACGATCCATTTCAAAATATAAAATATTTCACCAATAAAATAAAATTGAAAGTCATAGACAAAATTATGAAAAATATGAAGACGGTCAGACGATAAGCACTGAACACGTTGTGGATGAGTGCGCTGCGTACAGTAGGTACAAGTTTTTAATAAATAACGTACGTTTCAAGCCTAATATTTATTTTGTTGTACAATAATATTATTTAGACACATCAAAGTACGAATTCATAGAATTGGGGTCCGGTAATGACATTTAGAACACATGATTACATGAACAATGGACAATTTATATATAAATATTGAATTTAAGGCGGTCAAATGATGATGGAGAACGATCAATTTCTGTGTAGGTACAGCAGTGGCGGCGCCAGGATTTTTTGCTAGGTAGGGCCAACGGGAGGCCAACAATTATAAGGTAGGGCCTCTAAAAATGAGATTTCAACAAAAGATAAATACTATTATTTAATATTTTCTGCTTATGAAAAATTACTATATTATTATGTCTTAGGTCAGGTCAGTGGTAGGGCCACTAGTACGACTAGTTATTATCAAGTAATGGCCCTACCTGGCCCGTCCCTGGCGCCGCCAATGAGGTACAGCGTAATGCGTATTATAATATTGTTATTTTCTTATCGACAATTATTTCTGTATTTCAGTATTTATAAACCATCTACCGCGCAGCTGCAATAATAACCAGTTTAGACCTATGGTGCGTTATCTCTGGTTCTAATATTCTTGTAAATACTCTATCGGCGTTCGTAATACCACAGAACAATAGTAATACGGGCATGAGACTTCCCCGTATAAGCCATACTATGGAATTATAAATAATTCTCACTCCCATGCATATTATGTAGATAAAATATGTCTATATACATAATAAATTTTCATTGTTCATAATTAATAATAAATGCTATGAAAAACTATTTTAGAACCAATTTTTGCAAGTAAATATACAAATGAAATTTCTTATTTAGTTATTTATTTTATATTGAATGATAAAATTGTGGATTAGTTATTACTAATGATTAGCTACAGATTTTGTGAATTATCTAGATAAATAATTTATTTTTATTATTATAAATTATTTATCTACATGGCTATGATTTTTATCTAGATAACATATCTAAATAAATTTATCTAAAGCAAAACACTGCTTATTATAATATTACAATAAAAAATGGAAAGATGGAAAAATGGAAACATTTTCGGAGAAATAATATTTAAGTATAACGATAAGAAAATATGGTAGATAATGTACACCATGGGTTAATTTAATTGACGCTGTGTCTAATTATAGATGATCCCTGAGCGGTTATTACCCATAGATCTGAGATTAAAGTGATAGTGATATCGATTATTATTTAGAATAAATATAAACAGAATAGAATAACTATAAATAGTATAAATATTAAACTATGATATAGGAATGACACTATCTTCTAATATAGACAGTATACACCTTATGTGCAATGTATGTATTTGTTACTGTCTACGATGACCAACAACTAGCAAGGTTAGTAATTGATTCTTTTTAGTTTTGTTAAGTTTAAGTTAAGTTTTTTAAACATTACCTACTATGTATTTCAATTTATTTTTTTTGAGCAGGCATTTGTATAGTATGAAAATAAAATTTGTATGAACATATTTGTGTAACAAAAGAGGCTTAGACGTCATGGGTTTCCTAAAAAAGATTGGTAAGATTTAAAATTAGGAAGGAGAACGCTCCTCAATTTTTTATGAACATAGTCCCCCCATAACATTTTCCCCACTTTAACCACTGCTGTGTATCAATCATAAAAACAGCAAAAAAATATAATTCCGTATGAGAAAAAATGCTTTATTTTACTAGTGGAGAATTGACCCGGTTAAATTTTTTAAAAGACATATATTTTAAACTTATTCCCAGCTTTAACATATTATTAACTTATTATAATACAAATATTTACAATAAAAAGAAAATACTATAACTAACTTAATCTAACCTAACCTATTCAATAATAATATAATCGTATAGAGCAGCGTTTCCCAAAGTGTGTTCCGCGGAACCATAGGGTTCCATGGGACAATGTTAAGGGTTGCACCAGATGTATGTGATAATTGAGAAACTTATTTTATATTATATTTAGAAAAAATATTATTTTATATTATTTTAAAAACAATTGTGTTTTAAACTAATTTTAATAAAATTTTAATAATTTTAATTTTAAATATTAACAGTATCATTAAAAAAATTTTTAGAGTATTGGTTTTCCCATATTTTTTTGTTTTTTTAAATATTTTGGGTGGGGGGCTGTAGCCCATTAGACACCCCCTATATACGCCACTGGGAATAGTACAAATAGTGTCCAGAGAATGCATTTATATTTTCCACAGGGGCACAAGGGGGTAGTTGCCTCTCCAGAAAAAATATTGAGGGGTAAACTTATTATTTTGCCCCCTCCTAAATTAAATATTATTTAAACAATTTTTAATTTTTATAAAATATTTATGTTAAAATTACGATTTTACAATTATATGATAAAACTATTCCCCATGTTGAGTCTAATGCATTAATGTACATGAAATTGATTAAATATACAATATAGTATATTTAATCAATGCTTTAATCAATACTTTTAAAAACAACATTATGTTATGATATTAATTTCAATATAATATATTGTTATTAACATAATATATTCTATTGATATTAATTGATATACTTATCGTTTTATCAGTTATCATACACATACTAAGTAAATATGTAGGTGTAAAAATGTATAATATAAACATAAATTGAATGTGAGTAGATTTTTAAATCAAATTTTAAATTTAATTGTGATTAATTCCCCCCCCCACATTAAGATCCAAGTGTCGTCTATGATATTTTCAACTACCCGCTTTACGATAAAACTGGAATTGCAATTATCTCGGGGAGTGGGGGATTAAAAAAAGAGTGAGAAATAATAAATATTATTTTAATCATGAACACATTGGCGCAAAGTTGCGACGTATTCGAGACACGAAGACGACAAACGCACGCGCGTGCGATAATCAATACCGCATACGACATGATCCGCTCGCGAACCCCCCCCTCACCAAGGCCAGTGACGACGACGAACTTGTACACGTCATCCGCCACGGTCGTTCAGATGTATTGATGAGCGATGAGGCGGTAGTGGAGGGGCGTCGCCAGTCGATAGGCGACCGAGAGCGGTACGCGACGTACGGTTTATTTAGAGGTGCACGCATGCGCGTCCGCCCGTCGTCCTTGAAGCGCGCCGTGTGATCGAACAGCTGATTTGGCCACCCGCTCCCCGCAGTCGGTCTGGACTGGACAAGTTATTATTATTACGGCGCAGTTGTTTTTCATACTACATTTGTCCATCGCGTATGCGCAGTAACCGATTCATTATTAATCCCAATCTTGTGCGTAAATGTGACGCACATCTAGAATTCTCGACTGTTTTCCTTGTACGAAGTTCTACGATTTCTACGTATTTTTCTCTCGATTATCTCTGACCAACTACGTTTGCGTTTGTTGTTTCCGTCATCGTAGTGTCAACGCGCAGTTCGCCGCCAGGGACGGTCCAAACAAGAGTTTTCCGATACGGACGTGTCCCGTCATATCGACTAACGAACGCATACAGCCATGTCGGACGGTGAAGGTTCGACGCATTCGACCACCACAGCAGTTGTCGAAACAGGTGGGCCACCAGATAACTTGACGATAACCGCAGGAGTTGTGGACGGACAGCAGAATGTGACTCAGACTAAAGACGACGGCGAGCCCAACCCGAAAAAGGCGAAAATTTCTTCAGGTGGCACGGACGGGTTAGGCCGAGGTGGTGGCATTGGTAGTGATAAGCAGCAGACGGCTTCAGTCAAGTTAGAACATCGTCTGGGCGGCATTCTGTGTTGCGCCGTGTGTTTGGACCTGCCTAGATCGGTCGTTTATCAGGTGAGATTTTTGGAACTCCATTATCATTATAATATCCCAGTTACACGCACAATACGTTGGACGGCCGCGGGTTCTATTTTGAAATAAACGGTATCGCTGTTGTTATTATTGTTGTTGTTGTTGTTGTCGTCTTTGTCCCAGCTGATCGATGATGCTTCCGCTGGGTCAACGACATTAAGATAATTCGCATTCCGGTTTCTTTAGTTTTCACATTTTTTGCTCGTTCGTCGAATTACTTCGCAATGATTGTGCGTCATTTGCCGCCGATTTTTCTCGTATTGCGCATCAGTTTTACCCGTCGCCCCTCTGTTTCTCTCCCTAACATATACACTTTCGATACTTACAACCTTTTTTCCGCTCTTCAAATGACTCGTGATACTCCGATCACCGTTTAATGTTACACATCTCTTTGATTATCTCATTAGATTTAATAGAAAATAAAAATAAACTAATTTGCCGTTTCTTTTTTTATATTTTGGTCGAATGCGAGATAATGGAGGAATAAACAAAGTCCCTTAGCTCTAATAGAGAATAATTAATGCGTGGACGGCTATACAGCATTTCGTTCACTCTCGATACTCGTATCTCATACATACTATTGTATACATTCGATATTTATTCACTACAACTCAAGTTTCGGTATATTAATAAATTTATGTGTCTGGTGGCAAATGGTAATATGTTCAATGTTGAGAAATTTTTGGTTTTATTCTTTAACATGAGGCGATTAACAATTAAATGCATGTGTAATAAAATAAATATTTCGTCATGATGATTATGTTCTGCGTTATTCGCTCCGCCTTTAGGGAAATATATTTCTTTTGTGTACGTAAATAGTGATATCCGCTGTTGGATTCCCTGTAATAGATCACGTTTGTACACAATATGATATTTATGACATTTCAAATGTTTATCGATAGTTATTTGTAAATAATATTATGTCGTCCAACATCTGTTATTGATATATTTTAATCAAAAACTTGGGTAGTGATGACGTACGCGATCTACCCAAATATTCGATTTACTGGTTATTCCGAGCACCGAGCGGTGCCAAGATAATTTACTGGTTCAATTAATATGATAAGATAAAATATATATGATATATAATATACGATAGCCAGACGCTCAGACACATCGCCGCCATCGATTCGTCATCATCGCCGTCTCTACTAGTTAGACCAGGGGTGGCAAATAAGTGGCACGCATGAGATTTTCGATGGCACTCGAAAAACTTTTATTTGTCCATTTATATTTATAGATTTTTAAGTAAATTACAATAAATTGAATTATCAATTGCACATGATAATATATATTTCACAACCACGTATTGTTATCTTATATTTATAATTAAAAAAAAAATTTATATGTTGTAATATAGGTTAGGACACTAGATTACTAAAAGTTGTATTCTAACAAAAAATAATAATTTAATATTTTTTTTACGTTATTTCTATTTTAACATAATTTTCTATATTATAATCATTATTTTTTCATTTGTATTTTTCTGTGTTAATAAAAATAATTTTGGCCCATCTAAATTTTTTTTTTTTTTAATTATGTCATATATAGGCATGTTGAAAAAAATCCTATTTGCCATCCCTGGGTTAGACAATAGTATACCACTCTGTATATGTGTTATTATTATTATTAAAATGTCTTCGCATTTTTCTCAACTATTTGGAGTCGGCCACCCTTATCCTAAATTATTATTAAAATATCCTGTAGAAAATTATTGGTTTTTATTTCGTATACTATATTAAAACTTTTTATCTTATACTTCACTTTTAATGTTAATTGTAGCTATAAATTAATAATATGATTTTATATTAACTTATTATAATACTTTATACTAGCACAATTTTGGAGTAAATTCTTGAGTCACAAGTAAATATTATTTTTAAAGTTAACAATTAAATTTATAGTTTGTACATTTATATAGTATTTATAAGGGTTTTTGTCATAATCTATTTTAAAATATGTATACAGTTCCATTAAATTTATTATTTATTGAAAATAAATTTAATATTTACTATCTTGGTATAATTTGAAACTAGAATTTTTTTTTTTCAATATTATAATTTATCATAGAAACATATTTTGTATAATAATTTTGATCCAATTTTATAATAAAATATTAAAACAAATACAAGGGATTATTATTGTACAGTAAATATTTCCCAATTTTTGGATGTTCCACAAATTAAATTTTAACCCTCTTAAAACTCTCATTACACTAAATATCATATACTATGAAATAAATATCTTGAATTTTTAGACTTCTCAAACGTTTTTTGTTTCCCCTTGAGATATTTGTTATTACGAAATCATAGTGTATAATAAGAGAGTATATATGGTTTTAAATTAATAATACTCATTAATGTATTGGTATTTATGATTTACATTTTGTTATTTATTCTTATTCATAGTGTACAAATGGACATTTAATGTGTGCGGGTTGCTTTGCTCATTTGTTAGCTGATGCACGTTTACGAGATGAAATGGCCACATGCCCTAACTGTCGTGTAGACATTGCAAAAAATATAGCCACACGCAACTTAGCCGTTGAGAAAGCTGTCAGTGAATTACCAGCAGAGTGTCAGTTTTGCACTAAAGAATTTCCACGTAACACATTGCATCATCATGAGCAGCAACTTTGTGCTGAACGGTAAATATTGTGAATAATTACTTTATAATATTTATAGCTAATTACCGAAATTATATGGACGAAAAATGTGGCAAATATGCAAAGCAAAGAGGTCAAAATATGCATTTATATGCACAGATAAATGAAAAATATGCTCAAATGTATACCATAAATTTATAATACATTATACCTTTATATCAGCGTTTCCCAAACTTTTTCTCTGCCCCCTTGGAGATAGTAAAAATGATCGCGGACCCTTTAATACAAATAAAAATTAAAAACAATAATAAATATAAATACTAAATTGGTTGCTTTATTTTTTGAACTAAATGCACATATTTTTATGATAATTAACGATCAATAAACGCGATCAGTCTGTCTCTAATTGTAACTGCTTTTCTTCAACGATAACTATTTCGATAATGTATTTATTATCAACAGTATTTCCCATGTAATATGAATATTAAATCAGTATTTTCGTTTTTATAGATAAGTACTTTGTGTATTTTTAATTTAAGTTCACGGACCTCCTCCGGTATACGTGCGGAACAGTTTGAAAACGCTGTATTTATATAATCAACTAAATATTTTAATTAAAAAAAAAAAAAAATCACTTTATATTTTTTAAATAATTTAAAGAAATAAAATATAACAAAATTATATAGAATTGTTGCATCTTTCGACATCTAAATAGTTAATTTAAAAATAATATATCTAGGTATAAGGTACAGTCGTTGCCAGATAAATTGAGGCGGTGGCGCTTTTCATTAAGTGTAGCCCAAACTAGTCGCTGGTAGTGTGGTGCAAAGGTCTCACAGTTAACTACGACGCGCGCAGTCACCAGTTCGAACCCGGCTCAGTGCAAAAAATTGTCTGCAGAATTTTCTGTACTCTCTCCCGTTCTGGTTGCCCTATACTGCTAAAAACAACTAACCTAACCCGGTGTGTTTTGACCGCGCAAGCACTTCAGTCGTATCAACAATATTTGTTTATAATAATGCATATAGATGTTGTTATTATTTCATCATATTATTATTAATATTATGTATTATTATATTAATTATATTATTTTACAATTTTTACTTTTTGTTTTTAAATAAAAGATTATTATCGGAATATTTGATTTTAAATTAATATCGTAAAATATTTTTTGTAACAATAGTTGGTTTATTGATGTATTTTCGGTAATAATATTGAAATACGGAGAACCACTGGTTTTCCGTTATCGCGCCGCCGCCGCCGTCTCAATTTATCTGGCAACGACTGTATATTATAATATTATATCTATATATATAGGTATATATTAGGTTATATATAAATACAATAAAAAATAAATTATATAATTATACAGGGGCGGACGCAGAAAAAAATGTCGGAGGGGGGTTTGAAAAAATAAGAATAATTACCGTCTGGCCCATATTTAAAATTTGGCGTCCCCGAGCATATTATTTATGCCCCTCTCCCATAATGTACCATTATAAATAATATTATATCGATTACGTATATTTACTTATTTTTACTTACTGATAATAAGCGACTTACACTCATTATTTATACGAAGTATTGCCATCATGGAATTTTAAAAATTTGAGTTTTAAGTACCAATACCTTTTAGAACGTTTGGAAAATTACAAATTATCATAAATTCACTTTTCTTAACAAAACATTTTTTTTCTAGTATATTTTAATCGTATTTTGAACAATTAATTTTTTGAAGGTACATAAGGTAGGATAACTACGTTTGAAATTAATCATCCATTTATTTCGGGTGGGGGTTAACCCCTCAAAACCCCTCCCTGCGTCCGCCACTGGAATTATATATTTGACGTGATAGTGTGATACACTGATACGTGAAACGTTACGGGAGCAACGCCAGCTATTTTTCAGAGCTGGTTATCACGATTTTCTTATCATCAAAATTATTACTTTTCCTGTAATAATAAAATTACATATTATGCTTATATAAATGTTCTAACATTTATATTAAAATAATATATATTTGTTTCTAGTAAAAAATGAAAAAAATATATTGAAATACCAATTACCTTTAATCATGATAGTAGTTAAGATACTATCTTAAATTGTAGTACCTATACACAGATATATAAAACAGTTAGATAGTCTACTCGATATTATCATTGAAGTAAAGCTGCCATGTGTGAAGCAATGTTTACATTATTAACCTTACCACAAAAAATATTCATATCATAAATCATAATTCTTAAAAACCACAAACATTTTAAAATGTCATATGCCTTAGTCTAATTGTGAAATTGTGAAATTGTAGTTTCCAGTTCACATAGTAATATAGGTATGATGTGAATTTTAAATATTTAATATACTTTGATACATAACAGGACTAATTCTTACACATATTGCTGGTTATATACCTACATCCAATAATTTTCCATTTATTATTAAATATTTTTTTAATAAAGTTCAAGAATATAAATGCTATATATGAGTGCTGAATACTTTTTAATAATATAATTTTTATTGTACTAAATAAAATCTTAGTATTTGATTTTAAATATTCACTATTTGCTACTTTTACATTTCTAATAATTTATCTCAAGTATTAAAAAATAAAATACAAAATGCATTATTCATACATTATTACACATGATACATTTACACCCAGTGTCACATTTAAGATGTTGTTTATCGGTATAATTATATAATGTATATTACATACACAAATATATATAATAATATTATTTATTAATTTATTATTTTAATATTATGTGTTCACATTATCAATACAACATTTGTAAATATTGCCAGTTTTGCATATGGCAGGCATGATTCATGTCCTCCCATATTATATAGGAAGTAGGCGATTTAGTTATTTTATATATCTGTGGTTGACAGTAATTTTTTTTTTTGCCAGTATTTAAAAATTTCACTTTTTCAAAATGAAAAATTTTAATAATTTTTATATTTTTTAGACCAGTCAAGTGTGGATACAGTAAAATAGGCTGTCCATGGCGTGGACCTAGTCATGAAGCCTTAGAGCATGAAAAACTGTGTCCTCATCCATCAGCCTCTGGAAAAGATGTCATGTCTGCACTCGATGCAATGGATCAAAAGTTTCAAGAGGAAAAACTTTTATATGACACAATATTTGATTTAATGAGTTTTGAAAAAATAACATTTAACGGTAAATCATTTATAGTTTTGCAGAAAATCAACCAAGGTTTATTAATATCTCGATAATTTACTTATTTAACACAAAATAATGTTTAGATTTACAATTAAAACCATACAGAACAGAAGAATTTGTACACAAATTGTACTATGAAACTGCCAGATTTTCAGCTTTCAATTTTCAGTGGGTTGTGAAAACTCGCATCAATAACATGCAACGAGATCCTGCGTTGAGTGTTGATCGCCATATGTCATACCAGGTAATTTATGTACAACATTTGAAACACAAAAGTTAATTAATAATTAATTTATACTTTTTATATTGTATTCATTATTTTAAAAATATTATAATTTAAATAAATATTATCATTTTTTAGAGAAAAACAGGTAAGTTCTATTATGTTTAAGAAAAAAAAACAATAATTAACCCATAATATACACAAATGCGTAAAACACAACCACAAGTATCCATATACGTGTTGTCAGTCCTTTCAGCGTTAGGTAATTCCACAAATTTGGATGGCATTAGTATTCACTAAAACATTTAAGGACTACGATTGTATTCAACTATAGTCAATTCAATATGAATTATCCAATTATCCATATATAATTGGGAAACGAGACAGAAGATATTTTTTGTTATATTTATAAAGTTCACTGTTAACAAGAACATCACGTCATCACAATACTTCTACTACTACAGCATCATCTTCATGGTATGGACTCTCAAATCAATCTATCGCTGAATCGGCACATGCACGACAAAATTCATTTTGCCATCTATAAAATGTGTTTCTTTTTTTGTTTTTGCCCGTTTCTCTATATCTGCCACGTCTAGACACATATTACGTAAACACCTTCGAAGAGATAACAACGGCTGAAACATCACTTTAAGGCGCCCAAAATGGATCAGATCACAGGATTTTTTTGTATAAACAATTTTTGTTTTTTACGACGTTCTCAAAGTAAAACTTTACGGATTCTTGTTTTTTTTTTTTTATTCTTGTTATGTTAACATAAATTTATTTATTAAAATCTTGCAATTGTATTTTTTTCTTCTAATTGATTTTTATTTGTATAAAGGGTAAGCTTTGGTAAGTCATTTGTCACAAATATATTAAATTGCTTTTATTTTTCTTTCTGGTAAGTTATGCTAAAATTTGGAAGCACTGTGTATAATAATTTGGGTTGAGTTTTGTTTTTCAGGTGCATTTGGACTAATATAATATAAAAAACACTTATTAATTAATTAATCAATCATACTTCGCTATTAATATTTCAGGATTATTTTTGCAGGTGATCTGTTTTATTGTCTGAAAGTACTAATTGATATATTTTTTTTTTTTTTTTTTTTGTTATTCATTCCTCTGTTTCCTTTGCACCTTGAATTGTCATCGACGTGCTGTTCATCTGTAAATAGCTGATATTGAAAACCAAAATTTCCACACCCATGTCTGTCCACTATCTTGTAGTTAAAGGACCATTTGGTGACATGAAGGTGAATCCGAAAATATTTAAGTTTGAGTTCAACGAGAATGAAACAGAAACACAGTTTGTAACATTGCCATTACCAGATTCAGCTGAATGTAATAGGCTGTTAGCTGCTAAAACTATAAATTTGAGGTATGTAACAAAAAGCACTTTATTTTTTTATTTAATAAATATATGTATGTATACATACACACACGTGTAAATATATTTTAATATTTTAACATAATGATTGTTTCAAACTATTATTTAAATCATTATTTTTTTTAAATTTTGCTGCTTAGTTATATTTTAATATTAATGTCTAACAAAAAAAGGGTTAAAAATGTAATATTTTCCAGTCTATGGTATATAATTCCATCTTTAATTAAATGTATAACCATTGGTATAATTAATTAAAAATTTTGCTTACTATCAGATATTTATAGTTAGAACTATTATAATTGATATAACAAAAAAAGTTACTTTAGATTTAAAACATCAATACTTATTTATACTTACATTCAAATTAAAATATTTTAAAATAAATGTTGATAATATTTGAAAGTTTATTAAGATTATCAATTTTTTTCAGGTTGATCATGTTTTTGGTATCAAAATAATCACAGAAACACACACATACACACACATATATATATATAAATAAAGTAATATTTAATTATCAAAAACTTGTTTTCAATATTTTATTATTGATTTTTTTTTTTTTTTTTTACTATTTTTTCCCTAGGCTTACATAGATAGTATACTAGTTTTCTTTTAAAAATTAACAGACAAAGTAGGTTAAGCCAATTTTTAAAAGTTTTATAGTTTATTTAATTTTATTGTTATTGTTGATGTCATTTTTCCATTTTTTCCTCTTGATTTCACCTTGCCCTGCAGCACGATTTTCTTCCTTATTGTATTGTACTATATTTTAATATTTTATCGGACATAAATAAAGTTACACAACAAAAAAATGATTTTATCATTTATTATTTGTTATATTTTTTCCTGTTATTTATTCTTCATTGAATAAATTATCCTACAATTTGCATACATGTGTATGATATATGTTACTTATATATACAAGATATTTGTACATACAAGCTCAGAAAACTGATTAGGCCCAAGGTGGGTCCTGTCCGAGTGTAACTGTATTTTATATGTATGTCATATTATTTGTATAAATGGTGTTGAAAAAAGAATTTAGTAAAATGTCATTATATACTTATATGTATCTAATAGAATAGGAATTCACAATTTGTACTGCATGCTCAGAAAAAAAAATTAAGACACAGCTGTCTATGTGAGAAACATGAATTTTCTAAATTCAGTTCACACACTTGTTATAATTTTCATTTTGCTTTATTAATGATCATTGAAAAAAACGAATCACAACAGAAATCGCAAAGTTTGAATTCGAATGTCATTTCTGTTGGAGTTATTGGGATGCGAGGCAATAGTACATCTTCGCCTTTAAATTTTCCGTTTAAAATTATAGCTTCGATAATGTACATACAATTTTTTACTGAAAGCTTGGCACCATTTCAGAATGGTGGTGGATTGATGTTTCATAAAATAATGATGAGCACGTCAATTTTTAATGTTAGAACGTTCGGCGGCATGTCTAACAAATCAAGTAAATTTAAAAATTCAGTGGGATTGTGTTCCAAGTGTAATACATCTGCAACTCAACATACAGAATATTTCTTGCATATTAATATCTTGTACAGAGATCAAAAATAAGAGATGATTGTCATTTTTGGAGGAGAAGATAGTCACTCTTGGAAATTATTTTCAATAAAATAGACACGTTCACCATTTTCATGATGCATACTAAGGTGTGTGACAGAGAGGTTCCTTTTCGTTTTTTCGGTTGTTATTGGAACAACCAAACAAAAACTGCTCGTACATACCTTATCAAGTAATGCTTCCCATTATTATTTTTTCGCAACAAATGGTAGACCATGTCCTTCTCCAAAGTCTAGTTTATCTCTGTACTAAATTTCATCAAAATCGGTTTTGTGGTTTCAGAGTCCATCAGACACAAACCGCCTAACATATCGAGTAGTTTAGGAAGGCATAAGTGACATACAAACAAACATTCATTTTTACGTAGCTGAATTACCCTGTTTCCTCCGGGGAATAATTTATTATTTTAAATTAGAAAACAAATCCCTAACCTAAAAATGTTAGGTTAAAAAAGCGTAAAATATTTATATATTTGAATGTTATTGATTTTTATTGATTCATACTATTTAATATTTTACATAAATCTTAATCGGTGATTATTAAAATTTATAAATTAAGCAAATTAAACATTTTCTAGGTAATTTAAAAATGTAAAAGTTTATACGTCCATTCCAAAACAACTGTTTTGATCTTTAAAAATGCGATTCTTGAAAAATACTTTTTGTTGCACGGTGAAAGTATTAAAGGAACTACTATTCCAAACTTCAAGTTCATACGTTGAGTATTTTTTGATACAGTGAGTCAGTGGTATTTGGAATTTATATACATATAGATATCTAAATAAGTGCCATTTCACATTTTTAAAATAACATTAGACATATGAACCCCATTTTTTTTTTTATAACATGAAGCAAATCGATCCAATAAATTTGAATAAACTCACTGAAGCAATTAATTATGAAAATTTCCGTTCTAATTGTATCATTAAGGTCGTTCAAGGTACTAGGTCTTAATTCAAAACACGTGACTTAAGATATACCTAAAGGAAGAAGTTGCATATCGTTAAATCAGGTGACCTAAAAGCAGTGGTTTTCAACCTTTTCCTAATCGTGAACCTCAATTTTTTTTTTTTTAATGCGATCCCTACAAATATTTAACAATAAAACATAAATCATTTCTAATACGTATATTTAAATAAATAAAATAAATGTAAAAATAAATAAATAATATCATACACATAGATCAAAATAGTAATAACTAAAAAAAGTAGATATTTTTAGTTAAGTATATAATTCAGTTCTACAAATGAAGTTGTATGAACCAACAAAACAGTTATAAATCTATTTTGATTACTCTTAAATTAAATTATACACTCCGAGTAATTTTTGTTGAATGGCTGATTCATGATCACTACCATAAAAACCGTTGCAAAGAAAGTTGTTTTTTTTAAATTATTACAATTTTGATACCTACGAAATGAAAATGAATATAATCAATTTTTTTAGTTCTAATAGGAAATTTGTTCTTGAAATATTGAAATTATAATTTTTATACTATGAAATGCTACTCTTAAGTCTGGGTTTTTAACCAAACTGATTATTAAATATTATATTTGTGACTTAAGTTGTCGAAATACACTTATATAATATATTTTATAGTTATTAAAATCGGCGACTATAATCGTTAATAATCCATCATTAGACAAGATTTAATTACTACACTGTATTTTATTCGACATGTTATTATACATATTAGTAATAGTTAGATTGATTTTTAAAATAAAACATTTTGATATGAATAACCATTTGTTTATTATTTTGGGAACTCCCAGGTTGAAAACCACTGGCCTAAGTAATACACGGCGGATACATTTCTACATAGATAATATAGGTAGTATAATATAATGTAGTAGACAGTACATTGTCATACTATCATTATTTACTTTTTTCACTAGCAATAAAATTAATAATTATATGTAGCAAACGTGGAATATTACCATCGTATTATAATTTACATTGACTATTTTAAGAAAAAAATATTTTGTCGCCTAAAGAAAATTCCTTAAAAAATGCACTGTCTAGGGTGATGCATATCCCCAAAACATGAAATGAGGCGACTGAGGAACATTTTATGTACAACATTCATTGTGACGATGGCAGTGTGAGGAGGTGCTCCATCTTGTTGAAACTGAACATTAAACGGATTGATGATTCGCCTTATTTTGCACAACTCTAGTTTCAAGAAGTTATTAAGCTTGTCTATGTTTTGTTCCTCATACAAATAGGGATCAATAATTAACTTTTTTGAAACAGCACACCAAAAAGTTACTTATGCACAACAGAGCCATAGTTACAACTAAATTATATTATCTGAAGGATTGAATGAGTTTATCTAGAATATTCTATTCCCATTAAATGTAGAGAAAAATTCCTCTATTTTTGGTCCTATTTCCATAGCCCACCCTGTATATGAGTCATATATTTGAAAAAATAACACAACTTAAGTAAATAATTTTATTTATTTATTTTTAAAATCCCTTTGTAAAATTAAAAAAAAAAAAACAATACATTTAAACAAATAAATAAAACATAATATAAAAATATCTAACAATAATTTACCTCAAAATCAACTGAGGGACATGCTTTATGCTTACCCATTAACCTAATCATAAATTTGATTCCCCAAATTCCAGCAGTATAATATAACACATTCATAATTTTGATTCTGTGTTTAATGCTTTTAATTTTTGAGCTAACATAATGTTGCCTTTAATTTTCAGTTTACCCTTCATAAATGCCATCTGAGGATTCAGCTTTCCAAGAGCCTAAATAATATATATATATATATATATATTTAAAAATAAATATTAACTATAATTTTACTCGTATTAAATGGATATAATATGCTTTACAACAAATAATAATATTATACTCATATACATGGAATACTTAAGTTATTACTCACCAAATCAATCATATCTGTATCATCAATAGTCAATGTTGTATCTGCTTTAACACCTTTTTCGGGTTCTCCGCGATAAACTTTACCAATTTTCAGGTCCGCAGCTAGATGGTTTTACATACCATAGTATTTATTAGGCCATTAAATTAATACATTTTAGAGAAAACCTCACTTACTCCAAGTGCTGGTAACTTTCCCGTTTTTTGTGATGTAATACAAGAAAACACCATTGATGGATTTTATTAATTTTGGATTAGAGTCTATGCGTTCTTGCATACCTTGGAATACTGCATCACTTGGTAGTTCTTCTACTTGACTAGAGCATAATACCACATGTGGTTTGGCTGGTAATTTAACCTCGTGTAATTCCATGTAAGCGCCTAAAAATATTTATACTTGAATAAAAAAAAATACTTAAAAATAAATAAATATTTATTTAAATATATGTGAACGTTTTAATTAGGAAATAAATATTTATTATAAGTATTTTATAATAAGGATAAAACAAATTTATCGAAATTTGAACTTAAGAAAAAGTAAATGTTCATTGCAAAGATATATTTTAATTTGAACTAAACAAACCTCATACAAATAAAATCTATAATTAATATAATGACAAATGTTGTAAAAAATAGTAAGATTACTATAACAGAAAATGCAAGATAAGCTTGTTGCAACATAATTTTCTTTTCTTTCAATAATACTGATAATTATCTTAAACTCTGGTGTCCAATTATTGATTTTAAATGTATGTAAATATTAATTTTAAAGGTTAGTAAGGTTAAGCTATTAAATCAGTAGGAATAATTATTTATAAATCATACAGTTATTGTATACCTACTCATAAATATATTTTTCGATTGATGTATAAAATAACGAAGACCCATAAACTCAATGTAAATTAATGTAATTATGAAATAAATAAATATTAATTAATATGAAAAATAATCACCTGATAGAACAGTATCTTTGGTTTCCAGTACGGTTGTTTTGAAGTGAATGCGGTTTCCTTCTCTCCACATTGATGTACACAGTGTTTGACCTGGTATAACTGGTTTACTGAATCTCACCTGAAGGTCAAAGTTATTAGACATTAGTCATTTATGAATAATGAGCTGTTGGAATCTACTATACATGAGTTTCATTTTATGTATTATAAAATGTACAAAAAAAAAAAAACTATTCCAGAAATAGTTTGATAATGTTAAATTATGTTTTCAATTCTAAGGAATTTTATCTAAAATATCTAAACATTTTTTTTTCATTATTCATTTGCAATAATTTAGGTGTAATAATTTTCAAATTATCAATTAACATTTTTAAATAAAATTTTATATTCCAAAACAATTTTTGACCTTAATTAATGTTTTTTATACTTGAAATTCAATAACTCTTAAATTAATGTAAGTGTTTATTACATTTTCAATAGTCAAATATTCTGATAGTTGTCAATCGGTAAAATAATAATAAAATTATAATATAGGTACCTATTATTATTGTAAATAAAATGACTTAAATTAAGTAAAAATTACTTAAATAATAAAAAGTAACTTAATAAAATAAAAACTAAAAATTCTATGCCTTACCTTGAGTGATTTGAATAATTTTGAATTATTTTCAGCATATTGTTTGAGGATATGTCGTACTGATATTCCCAAAGTAGCTAACCCATGAAGTATAGGTACTTGATGACCAGCAGCAAGAGCAAATGATGGATCAATATGTAAAGGATTTAAATCACCAGATAATCTATATACAGCTGCCTTAAAAATAAAATAATTTAGCATTTTGAACAATAAAATACAATTAATTGTTAAAAGCAAAAAACCTTAAATAAAAATTATTACTTGATTTACAGAAGTTTTCTCTTTAACAGAAGAATCTGGAGAACGTGAAGGTTCATCAAGTAACGGAACTAAAACTTTTGAAGTTCTTTTCCCCCCAAATTCTCCAGCTGACAAAACAAAAGTACATATTTGCGATGATATTATTAATTCACCTGATTCATCAAATGTTTTACCTAGAAAAATTTTAAAAATATTAGGTGGTAATGAAGATAACATACCAAAGTAAACATGCTAGAAAAATTATTACAATTATAAAAAAAAAAAAAAAAAACAAACCTAAAAATATTCAGTGATACAAATGTATACATACCATCAATAATAATTACAGCATTTTTGCCTTTATCCAAAATGTCAGAAACACTTATTTTAGTACTTAGTTTGCCTTCTGTTGGCAAAGGCTTATGTAATTCTAAAAATTGTTCACCATGTAATACCTATAATATATATTTTTAATAAAAGACAGGTTATTTCAAAAACATTAGTAATTAAACAAATTATTTTACCAATATTATATATTAATAAATTAATAAATATAATAATATATATAAATAATAATATAATATATATATATAAATAATGATATAATAATATAATAAATATATATATATATTAATAAACATTTAAAATTTCATATATTTTATATTCTTATTAAAAAAAGTTTATTGATAACATAAGATCTATAGTTACATTAATATATCTTATACCTGAGATAAATCAAATTCTTTTCCAGGAATTGCCTCTGTTATTAAACTACTACTCATAGCAGTCATCAGACTCGGTAAAATTCCAAAAGTAGGAAGTGTTGAAAAATATTCATGAGATTCATATAAGTATTGAAGATCACTTTCTTCTTTCACACTTGCTCCAACTATACATAAAATATCAAAATATTAATATTTAATAACTATTATTAACAGTAAAATACAATTATTTTAAATTAACCTCCGATAGCATAAATGATGGAATCTCGATAATTATAGCTGAACACACCAACAGCTTCATTTTCTGTTTCTTGTGGACCTGATTTAATTTCATCTAAAACACCCAATAAAGTTGAAGATGCTTCCTAAAATAAACCATTGTACAGATTAATGATGAATTGATAATGAAAAACAATAGTGCAAACTAATTACTTCAATAGAATTTAGTCTAGTTGCTGATGACATATCGGTCAATTTATTCCAAACATCACGGACATTTTCAGGAGCGACTGTATCAGTAATCTTGTGTCTAAGTAAAGCACCATTTCCCCTTACCAAATGACCTATAAGTTATATTATTTACAGTTATACATTAAAATACAAATAAGTAATAGTAACTTTCATGTATTTTACATTTAGTAGCCCATCCAGCAGCTGATTCAATTATAGAACCATTTTCTTCACAAGTCTCGTGACAAAGCCATACTACTACAGGTGCAATTAGTTCAGGTTTCAATTCAGCAAAGAAATCTAAAAAAAAAAATGAGTAAAAATTTGAATTTCTTTAACTTTTAAACAACTATATAACTAAGTATTTAAATATTATGATTTTAATACCGGGAGGTAAAATATCTTCAGTAAGCCTAGATGCTGCAGTAGGTACAATTACATTACAGTTGATATTGTTTTTTCTGCCTTCAATAGCCATGGTATTACAAAGACCTACTAGACCAAGTTTGGCAGCTCTTTAAACAGAAAGAATAATTTTAATAATTTTAATAAAATTAAGCCAGCTGTTAATTAATTACGAATAATTTGCCTGTCCAAAGTTTCCATATAAACCAGAATTAGAGCTAGTGACTATCACACGACCATAATTTTGTTTTCGAAAATGTGGCCATGCAGCTTGAGTGACTTTGAAAGCACCTTTCAAATGAACATCATGTACTAAATCTAGAAAAAAAAAATTGATTTATAGTAAAGGGTTAGTTAAAATAGTAATGTTATATACTAACTCCAGTCAGATTCACTTATACGAGCAAATGATTTGTCCCTCAATATGCCAGCATTATTTACTATTATATCAATACGGCCAAAGTTTTCCAATGCAGTTTGCACTAATTTATCACCATCTACAACTGAGTCATAATTAGGTACAGCTTTTCCACCTAAAAACAAGTTTAAATAAAACATATTGTTTTTATAGAAAAATTTATTAATTTTGAAATTAATTTACCTTTAGCACGAATTTCCGACACAACAGAATCAGCAGCTTTACAACTACTACCATCTCCAGATCGACTACCTCCAAGATCATTGACGACCACAGATGCTCCACGTTCAGCAAATAATAAAGCATAAGCTTTACCCAAACCTGATATGAAAATGTTAAAGATTTTATAATATAAATGAAAGAAATCAAAAATAATTGTAAAATAATTTAAAAATTAACTAAAAAATATACAGAAATGTTATAGATATAACCTTTAATTAAATAATATAATTTAATCAATAATACAATTGATTACTGATTATTTTGTTTTATATTTATATAAGGGCAAAAATAATTAAAATTACCAATGTTAAAAATGAATTTTAATAAATGTATACATATACAATTTAAAAATTTAATAAACAATCAATCAATAAGCATATGTCTAAATTATCTTCAACAAACCTGCACCAGCTCCTGTGACTATTACTACTCGTCCATCAAAACGTAAATTGTCCATTTTGCGTCCTGAAAAATATTTATATTTAATAAATTAACATTTATTTATATATTGTCAAATGATATATTTAGAAAAAAATTACTGAATTTAAAACAAGCTCGTACACTACACTTAATAATATTAAACATGATTCGTAAGATTAAGATAAATTACATAAGCCACATTTAATACCTATAGAGCTGATGATGATTGGGTAGAAAGTAGTATAACAAAAAGGTACTTGCTTTCAATTTTTTATTGTCACTAGGTACACCACGCACGATATAACACTTCAAACGTCTGATTGTTGAATTCGATTATGGGTGAAATTAACAACGGTAATAATATGAACGATTTGCATAAACTGTACAAGGTTGACGAAAATAATTAATATTACTAGATACCGCGGGGCAGAGAAAGACAGCAACAGGACGAGTCAGGAAACGAACAGACGACACGATACGACAACAGTAACCACGATGACTGTAGACAGCAGTTAACACGTATAGCTGTCGTCGATTCTTACACAATACAAACTGGCCAGATCCCCACCAACAAACGTGGTTCCATCAGCTGCTTGATAACAATTGTGATATCAGGAAGTATACTTTCACCACAGAACATATCATAGACCAGAGTTTCTTAAACTTTTTTATCTGTGGAACTCTTTTTGATGTCCACATTTATCGTGGAACCCTTACTTTTTTTTTTTAGCTTTTTTTAGGATTTTTTGTAAATAAATTATAATCATATAATATTGTGTTAAAGGTATTTAATTCAAAAAATGTTTTAAAATTAAAATAATTAAAAAATATCTACATATATAATAATAATACTTTAATAATAATTACTTAAATTAGACTAAATATAAGTACGCACCGTAGCTCCGCGCGAATAAAATTATTTTGTAAATCCGCAACTCTGCATGCACCGTAATTCGGCACGGTCAAAAAAATTAAAGTACCGTAGATCCGCATTCTAAAAATATTTTTAACACTGAAAGTCCGCATTGCATAAAACTATGTTTAGAAAATTACTTTAAAAATGATCAACCCAAGATTCACGAATTAAAAAAATGATCACTAACTTAGACAAAACATACATAAAAAACGATGCAATATTTCCACCCAGTAATTGGACCGAAAAAGAAGCAATACTGGAGAGAACAATAAACAGCTATGAGTCTTTTCATGCAAAATTTGGTAATTTATTTACTTCAGTACCTACATCTAAATATTGCAGTTTTCATTAAAAACTTATTAGCTACGCAGACGGATTCTTACATACGAATGAATTCTGCTAATAATAATGAAGTAGGATAGTTAGAACTAAACAAAAAATCAATATGGAATTTATAAATAAAAACATAGACTTATATAACGATGGCTAATTGATAGATAACCGATTGTTTTTTTAAATTATGTACAAAAATATATATAAAAATGATGTGCGGAGTTAGGGTGTTAAAAAAAAAATTATGTGCGGAATTAAGGTGTAAAAAATACCTTGTATGCGGAGTTTATGTGATATATTACAAAATGGTAACGATACATGCGCAGTGATGTGCACCGAAATATAAATAGTAGACTATTCCATATCGCTTATACATGTTATTTAATATACAAAGATTTTTTTTTCTATAATGCAAATAGTTTTTCAACATTGCTAATATTAAGATGGAAATTTTAAAGTAATTTTCTTAAAATTTTTTAAAAAATTACTTAAGCTTCACGGAACCCCAGGGTTCCACGGAACACAGTTTAAGAAACGCTGTCATAGACATTAGGGCTTGGAAGCTGATGTCCCAGTGGCGGTTTTGATGATGAGGAAAGCCGCCTCACATACAATTTTTAAATAAAAAATACTCAAAAAGTATATTTCTTAGCTCACCGTTAGCACAGATTTCGGTAAAATTTTTAACGTTTTTATGATTTTGAGAAAAAATTCTTTGCCAAATTTAATAATATGGATTATCATTTCGGCTGTTTATCATAAAACACAGCAAGTGAAATTCTTATCAATTTTCATGTTATTGGCCTAGATTGTTTGAAATGTTGTGCTGTGTTTAAAGCACCCACTATTGTTACTAATATCCTGTTAATCAATGAGATAAAATCAAGTCTCCACTTATTTTTATACATTTATCAAGAAACAAATAATAAAACACAGTAAGTAGGTTAAGTGTATTTGATGTTTTATCATTGTTAATTGATTTTCTAACTAATCGAAGGTTACAGGGAAAAATGGCGTAAACGACATTTTTGTAATTTTTCAGGAAAGCTAAAATAAAAATACAATATATTTTTCTATCCTATTTTATCAAAATATTACTTAGAGGTATAATTCTTATATCAATCTATTAATTGATTATATTTCTAATGTATTTTACTTACAACTATAAAATTTACCGATAATTAAGGTAAAAATTAGCTCATTAGCGATAATATGGCGCTTATGCCCATTGTTTCTTAACTTACCTGGCCATTGGTGGTTACGCCTGAACTCTTGAACGTATGATTTAATATTAATAATTCAATAAAAAGTACTCAAAATAAAATTAAATAACGTGTATTTAATTATCACATAAAAAAACAGTAAAATATTCCTTTAAATAAAATAAAACATCGCGCTTTTTAGTAAAAAGTATTCAAAATAAAATTAAATAACGAGTATTTAATTATCACATAAGAAAACAGTCAAATATTCCTTTAAATATAATAAAACAACTTTTTTAAAAACAAATCGATATAATTATAATAGTAATCAACTAATTTATAATACTTAATGATAAAATGAGTAAAAAAAATTTGATAATTTATCAGTCTTATTTTAAACTAACAGTTTCATCTTCCTCGTCAGTTTCTTGTAAACGATCTTGGGTTTTTGAACTATTTCTCATTTGCAGATACTCCTCGTGAAACTCGTTTGGAATAATTCCAGATGTAGGTACACAATTTAATAAGATCATTATATTTTTCTTTCGAGATTGCAATGGTTTCTTTATACAACTTTTTTGCAAAGACTTCTGTAGTGGACCGAGATACTTTTTTGTTCCGACCATCCTTAAGTTTAAAGGTTTTTGGTTCACAATCAGGATTATATGAAAAATATGCATGGATATTTATGGAATGCAAATTATCATCTTCACTATCAAAATTCAAACGTGAAAAAACAAAGTCGTTTACAACATCATATATTATTTCATAGTCGTTTAAGCCCAATAACAACTACGCACCTGATAACGAATGGCGGTTACGCTAAATATTTAAACATCAATAGTTATTCGTAAAGAAACTAACCTATCGATACGATCATTAGGCCACTTTAGACGATCGTGTTTTCTCGCGAGATTGGAACGGCGCGCCATGCGTGCGATCCGTCCCGTAGGATTGGCGCGTGACACGCCAAGATCGAACCAAAAAAATATGATACACGCCAATCCTACGTGCTTTCGTTTAATGTAGGATTGACAAGAAAGTACGTCCGTCTAAAGATAAAAAATGTCAACATTCCCACGCGATAAGAGTGGCGCGTGGCATTTCGAAAATATCAACAGTTTTGTCTACGGTCCACATGTTTTCGAACTCTCGTAGAGTGTAGTATCGTGGTATTTTGTGTTTGATAAATTTCTAATTTTTGTTATAATCATGTATAAATTAAAACAAAAGAAAATTGCAATTGCAAGTGCCGCTTTTTATTTGTTAACAAAAGACAATAAAAAAAAACGCTCAAAATGGGTGAAAAACTGGAAATTAAATCGCCATAAATTTAGTGACATTACGCTTCTCCGTGAACTCGAAGACAACTGTCCAGATGACTACAAAAATTATCTTAGAATGGATTCAAAAGATTTTCAGTTTTTGCTAGAGCTTGTAGGGCCGAAGATAAAAAAACAAGATACTGTAATGAGAACAGCGATAAGTCTAGAAGAAAGACTTATTGCGACTCTCAGATATCTCGCCACGGGAAGGTCTTATGAAGATTTAAAATTTAGCACTTGTATATAAGCACCAAGTTTATCATTTATCATTCCAGAGACGTGTAAAGCGATATTCGAAGCTTTAAAAATGGATTACATGAAGGTAATAAATATTTATTTTTTAGAATTAGTAATTGGTATTCCGAAAAAAGTATATTTTATATCTTTTATAAACAACAAAATAAAATAGATTTTTAGGATCTTCCTATTAAAGATAAAATTGCATAAATCGCATCGATAAAATAATTTATATCATACAAAATATGAAAAATTAAAATTATAAAACATAATTAATTACTTTTTTGATTATTATAGGTACATAATATATACCTCACTGGAAAAATAACAAAATAAAAATATAAAACAAAAATGTACCTTAAATTTTATTTAAATATAAAATAAGTTTAACCCAAATCACTGTATGTAAGATGTAGGATATTTTTCAATTGATATCGTATTTATGTTGTCTTGAATGGACGGTGATGGACTTGATATAGTTGTAGAGTTTGATGTAGGTCTATCATAATTATATGAATAATTTGAAAAATTAGTAGGAATTTGGCTGAGATTTTGATTTTCAAAATGTTGCTGGACTGTTGACTTATTACAAATATCAAATTCAGATGTTAAGTTTCCTAATAACCCCTGTGTTAATACTTTATTTATGAGTAAATCTGCATGTATAGATTGAGTTGGATCCATTCTTTTCAATTTTGAAGCAACATTTATCCCAATGGCGTCATATTCGTCGATGTCATCTTTGGATAACGCTTCTGAACATAGTTTTAAAAAATCATTTTGGCGATCAATAGCTTTACGTTTTTTTTTTTGCGGTACAGAAGGAATGGAAGTAAAAAGTTTTGTTGCAGTTTGTTCAACTCTGGTATTATCATCATTAAAATCATTATTGATTATGTTTTGAATTAGTGTATTTGAACAGCCCTATACAAATAAAATAAATGTCTTTAAATATTAGTTTAAAAAGTAAAATATTTAAATAAAATTTGTAAATGTTTATAATAAATTTTGAACTTAAATTTTAAATTTAAATTAAATTAAATAAAAAGTTTATTAAATAGAACTAGAATTGACCATTATTTTAATGTTCCAATAATATACAAAATTGATTTTTAAAATAGTACCCAGAATAAACCATTTTGAATAAAATTAGGTGATATAATAAATAATAATTAGAGATAACAT